GCGAGACGCTATGGCTTAGCTTAACAAAGGCAAAGAGGGAAGATTATTAATAAGTGAGGCATATCTCCAAACCGACACATGATAATAAGTGATTGTTCCAGGATTTTGCATGCGCGCCCAGCAATTAGTGTTGTGGGCACCGTATACGCTTACTCAGGTAAAGCTTGTGCCTACGTGCATGCATATGCACAGATACACTGTGTTAGGAAAGTGTATACGCGAATAGGTGAATAATACCACGAAATCTTACGTCAACTGATACATTTGAGTATTTTTAAAAGGCCACCTGGCCATATCCAAACTGCACATAGTCGAAAACGTATTCTCATGAAACTTTGCATGCATGCCATATTTTAAGGTTGTGGAGCAGGCGTACCGCAACATTTTCCGATTTAATGGTCGAAATTACTGTGAACTTAAAAGTGTGTGCTAAAAACCTTTCCATTGACCTGAAGCATTGTCATAGAAAATTGTTACCACCCTTTTTAAGAGTCGGCGTTTTTATTATTCTTGTTGCACAATCTAGTGCGAACAAGACCTATGGTCGTCTTGAAACAGGAACTGACCCTTTCATCATCTCCGACTTCTCCTTCGCTTCCACAACATATGTACCGATTCGTTCACTTGGAATACAAATGCTATGGCGGGAAAGTGACTTACGTGAGCGAAAATCCCGTGACGTCACACAATAACCATTAATCCCACTAGAGCCCCATAACATCGCGTAATAACAGGTTACGCGACTTAAATCACGTAAGATTGGATATGAACTGGTCACGTGACTTAAGATATTGCAACATCATGTAACGTCCAGTGCCATGACTACAATCACGGGACAAGTCTCACGAGACTAAAATCACGTTTCTGGTATGGTGACCAAAATTGTGTAGTATCACGTAACTACTCACATGATTGAAGATCATGTAGATTTGGGCACACGTTAAAGAACCCCAGGTGGTCGAAATTTCCGGAGCCCTCCACTATGGCGTCTCTCATAATCATATGGTGGTTTTGGGACGTTAAACCTCGCAAATCAATCGATCCATTGAAGATCATGTAACATCACGCAGTATGAAGCTGCCTTGCCAAAATCACGCGACATCGCGTAATATCTCGTCATGTGACGCGTTTCCTTCATGAACTACGTAAACAGCTTGTCACTTCAATAACATTTTTGCATGAAGTAGTATGCGATCAAGAGACATGTCTAGTCAAGTATAGCCATATTTAATGCTACAAGCAAAAACCTCGCGTTTTCAGTAAGACCATGACATCGCAACCAAGAGTTAGGTAGGTCGAACACTAGCTGCGCTGCTGGTTTCAAACTAGCGCACCTATGGCGGCGTCTGCACTATTTTTGCTGTGCATAACAGGCGGAAATCGCAATTCAGGTGCACTTTGCCACGTCATTAATTTTGTACAAACTCTCAAAACTGGGGAATCTTGAACAACACCTTTCACTGATATGTGAGGTTTCACGTCTTAAAACGACAATATGATTATGAGAGACACCGTATTGGACGACTTCGATAGTTTAGACTACCTGGGATTCCTTAGCGAGCATCCAAGTCTGAGCACACGGGGATACAGCATTTTCGCCTCCATCGAAAATGCAGCCGCAACAGTCGGAATTCAATCCCGTGACCTGCGGGCCAGTAGCCGAGTAATAAGCTACTAGACCAGCGTGGCGGGGCGAACAACACTTTTGAATCATTTATGTGAAATATTGTTGTCGTATACTAGCAACAAAAAAGCCGAAAATTTTACATCATGTAGTCATTTGAACGAAAGTCAATGAAAGATATCACAAAACAGACTCCATGCGGAATTTCATGAAATTTTTGCCTGGAAGGCTGTTTTTATTATATAAAACATGGGTATGGTAAATTATTGCTTCGCTATTTTTATTCACAGAATATCAGAGAACAAAATGACATTTGATAATCGTGCTGGCTTTTGTCGCTTTTCATAAGTTCGCATTGTTGAGAAATTTAGTTTCAATTATTCTGGTGATATATGATAATAATCACTATGACAATATATTCAAGTAGTAAATATTCTGTATAATTCTTTGTTGCAAAGTTCTTCATACCATACCATTCTATACTCCGGGCTTTGCGGCAGAGTCACTTGCAACAGGCGTTGCTCGTATATAGAACATTCCAGAAAAATAAGCATATTAGACTACTTAAAACGTGGACAACTAGGACTTTGAACCATAATTTCAGAAACACCTTAATTCTCGAGTGACATATAGCTTTATTTGCAATACTCGAAGAAATCCTTAATAAGTGGCTGCATACTAACAATTGATTTTCAGTTATGACATCACGTGCTGCAACGCAGCATTTTGGCTTCGCAATATTTTATACCGTATGCAGCTGATTTGGGGAACATTCAATAAAATAAAAAAAAGTTGCCCTGTATTTGTAATACGACGTTGTTTTGAAGGATATTTTATTTTGTCAAAAACTGTGGATACATCAAAATGTAAATATTACGAAGATTAAAAACTTGTTAAAGATGCTATTACCTTTACCCGGAATGAATGTGAAGAGTGCTTTTTCCGAAAATCCTTATTAGTGGGTGATTTTGCCATAACAAATACTTTCAGAACCTCTTCAACTACAACATCTACGGAAAAAGTTTTTTTTTTTTTTGCTCATGAAATGTCGCCCGAAGCAGGAAGGCTAAACTTGATCGCGCGAACCTTTGTTCTAACGCAAGAGTATTCTCGTCCGTGTGAATAATAGCGTCCACGATATATCTTTATCCCTAATAAACTATAGCCGTCCGCTAGACAACACAATAGAAAAAAAACAACTAGAGAAGAAAGCAACTTCAGAAGTCTGCGGCAATTTCTCCTCAAAAAAACAAACAAACTGAGGCGCACATTACTGCACCAATGAACGCAAAATCTGGGATGACATCAGGAGCACTGTTGGCCGTGACACCACCTTCAGAGAGTACCACTCAGTGCACGAACAGGAATATTTTTTCAGTAGCGTAAAGGATCACCTGCCCTGCTTCGGTCATCTGGCAGGGGCTTTTGCGGTCTTCCTAAAAGTTTATCTGTCTTTAGAATATGTAGGCTATATGAAAATCAGTGTGTGTAATTCCATGTACCACTCAATCCATTCTCAAAACTCACTATAAAGCCCGAAGGAACTGGATGACTACGATAGTTCGTAGTTCATCCTTATTATAAATTGTCCTGGCACAGATAGTTTCCTTCAAAGTACAATATGGATGCGACACAAAAAACGCCAAACATTCCACCGAACAAAGCAAACAATAAAGCCTACAGAAATCACAAAAATTGGCCACCAGCTTCTAATCGTGCCTTCTGTTGCCCCGTCAAAGAAAACACGGGGATATGTTGGTGTGGAATGTGTTAGAACCCTTGAAAAATGTTTGGAAGATTCGCAAGCAAGGGGTGGGTGCTAGAGGCTGGAGCTTTTTTCGAGGCTGTGACTGGTTTACTTGGCGTTTGTGTGTATATGATGGTATCCTTTACTTTAATCTACGTTATGACGAGGAGAGAGCAATTGCAAAAGTAGCATTGCCAGACAACTAGAGGCTACTCTTTAGAATTTATCTGAGTCACTTGATTCATTATGGCGCGTTTTTTGTAGCCACTGTTACCGAGAGAGCTCTTTATTAAAGCCATTGCACATTATACAATTCTCAAAACCATACTTATTTTTATTTTCGTATTCCTTTTCTTTTTTTATTTCTCTAGCGATTCTCGTAAGTTCTGTATATCTCCGCAAAATATGCTTATTCAGCTTTTGATCAAAGAATTTTCAGTTTTTTTTTCACGCTATGTTCACCATCTTATATAATTTGTCACAGTGTGTTCAGGAAGCTAAATTTTTAACACTTCCGGGACAAATACCTGTTTTAATTGCTTTATACTTGTACTTCCCAAATTAGCTTCAGGGTGTGATGCACTTATTCAGACTCGTCAACATTTTGATAGCACTACTCTACGAATACTTTATTATGCTTTTATTTGTTGTCACATCTCGTGTAAAAACGGGCTGTACGAATTATCACCCCTTTCAAGTGGAATGACCCAAGTACACCTCTGTTTTTTAGCGATTACTCATTTTGCCAGTTGATAGGCTGTGAAAATTGAAACTAGCCAATTATGTATATACCAGTTAATAATTACAACCACCATTTAAATATGTCAATGTTTTCCGCCCATTGTGGTTCTATCATACTAATAACCTATGCTAAATAGAATATTCTATGAACTAACAACGTATATGGTAAACGGGTTATACAGTTCGCTATTATTAAGATCTCGAGTTTTCTACCTTTTGAAATGAAAGTGAGTTGAAACTTCACTAAGAAACTACAAAAACCCTTGTTAGAACAATGTTCTGCTTTATTATTGACCGGTTATGTTTATTGTGACGGCTGTCCTAAATTTTAAGGAAAGATAGTTCTTTTTTTTCTCTTGGGATGAAACAGTTTTATTTTTTGCTCGTTGTGGGGTTATTTCATGTGCTGAATTAATTTTTTTAGATTTTTTATACAATATCTAACTTTTTAGTTATTCTTTTTTGAAGTGCTCTTATCAAATGTATCTTGTTGGACTCAAGCTAGCCAATAGCTAAGGGTGCGCATAGTGTGTGCAAACTTTATTAAATAATTGTGAGCAATGAAATCCCAGTTCCAATTATCCCCTCATCATGCTTTGGTTTTATCGATGTGATTAAATGAGTCATTGAGAAATTATTACTATATTTCACATCTATAACGAACTATTTATACGTGTCAGCTTTCGCTTCTTCCCTCTTATTGTATATTTCTAGCCTTATGGCACATAAAATAAATAAATAAATATGCTAACAGTTACGTTATTCGCGCCGCATACTTTGTTTTTAATTTCTTGCAGGACTTCTGTGGAGACCCAGTAAGCCGAAATGAGGCATCCGCCTACGGTAGCCGGAAGCTTCCTTCGATTTTGTCTTCTCATCGGGATTTCGATGACGTGTGAGGCGACTGAGTGCCGATGGGCTTACGCAGTCCAAGAACCGGGAACTAGTCGCCTGCTGATTTACGACGGTAAACCGCCGGCCGCCTCACGTGATGGCGGCGCATCGCCACTGGCTCTGGTGGCATGGGCGAACTTCCGCGACGACATACAGAACAGCGGGTGAGTCGTGCGTAGCGCTACAATTTACCAGTCGTATAGGCCTTTTCTGAATTTCGAAGGAAAGTGTGTGTTTAAGAGCTTGTTTTATTTGTTAGATATAATATCAATGAGAACTGACAGTGAACAATGCCAGGGAAAGTATCCGGGTGGTGTGCGTGGCAAGCAAGTGTTCTTCACAGAACCATGCACCTGCTTGTAAATACAGTGCAAACAACTTCTTCTACTTGGAAATGCAGTTAAAATAACTGGTATGCTTTAACAATGAAAACTAACAGACAATATTACCAGGGAAATTATAGGGCTGTTATTAGAAGTACTTGTGATGTAAACGTGAGTAAATAAAAAAATACATGAAACTTGCCACCAGCTGGATCTGAACATGCGACCTTCGAATAACCAGTCCGATGCTGTAACACTGAGCTACAGTGGTGGTTACACCTAGCTCTCCCGTCCACGTTTTAAGGTATATATGTGCATTAAAGGTGGGAGCGTCAGTCAGTGCCACCTGTTGCCATTTCGGCAAGTGTAGAACACTCCTTCTTGCCTGTTTGGCGTCACGTAGCACGTGATCTGGTTACGAGATGGCAGCTGTCCCATTATCCTTCGCATGCAACCCTCAAGGCATCAAGTCTGTCAGAACGAGACCATCTCTATGATTGAAGCAAAGTGTATTATTAAGGGTTTGTTTTCTTTGTTAGACACAATAATAATCAGAACTAACAAACAAAATGCCAGAAAAAATCTCGAAATTTGAGGCATTTCTTAGTGGACTGCAGGTACGAGTGTTTTTATCTATCTATCTATCTATCTATCTATCTATCTATCTATCTATCTATCTATCTATCTATCTATCTATCTATCTATCTATCTATCTATCTATCTATCTATCTATCTATCTATCTATTTATCTATCTATCTATCTATCTAACATAAATGTGGCTGAGTCAGTCAGTGCCACTAGTGTTCTTGATTAAAGTCATGAGTTAGTCATGGAGCAAGTTATCTCTCTGTGCGCTTCTCCTTCCTAATATTCGCATTACATGTGGTACTGATAACACCTCCGATATTTTTGTTGCCATATTTGTCACTTAGTTTTCGCTCATATTGTATCACACAAAGAAAAAAAAAACGTACTCTTAAATTTCCCCGTTTTTGTTCTTCGATACCGAATGCCTCATTCTGGCACAATCGATGCTTTCAGATAATGAGCGACGAATTGTTGTTGAGCTGCCAGCGTGTATTAATTTCAAGTGCTACATGGCGTCAACAGGCCGGCAAGAGAGAGAGAGAGGGAAGAAATGTAGGAAAGGTAGGGAGGTTAACTAAACTATGCGTCCAGTTAGCTACCCTACACATGTGGAGGGGTAGAGGGGAGTAAAAAGAAAAAAAAGGAGAGAAGGATAGACACATGTCACATCACACACACAATGCTGAGTTTGTGACGTGTGATGTCTTGAATTTGACAGTGATTGATCGAGATGGTATGACAAAGGCACCTGTCAAACTTCCCGAGACCAAACCGTCCGTGTACACACGAATTCGGTTAGCATACGACAAATGCAAAAGGTCCAGTGAGATCTGCTTGAGGGCTGCAGATGACAGGCTTGCCTTTTTAGATATCCCCGGCACTTCAAGGTGCACAGTGGGTTTTTTCATGCACCACTCTGGAGATAGTGGTATGGTTGCGGGCGAGAATCTCCACGAGATGGAATTGTGGTTAGCCGCAACAACTTTGGAAAACGCTGCCTTAATCTTTCTAGTGGCAAGCTAGCAAGGTGGTGGCTAGGCACTCTGCATATGTGACGGATATGTGTCCGGAGTGTGTCTACAGTTATATATGTCGTGATCGGATGATCCTTTGCAATACTAATTGTTGCTAACGTATTAGCGCACCGAGGTAGCCCCAAGCATGTGCGGAGGACTTGGCCTTGAATGCTTTGCAGGACCCTGATGCTAGTTTTTCCGGCGTTAGAAAGCACGGGCGTGCTATACCGCAAATATGCCAAGAAGAGCGCTCTGTACAGCTGAAGCATAGATGACACTGATGTGCCCCCAATTCACCAGCGAGAAATCTCATCACGTGTGTGATAGAGCTGAGCCTCTCCTTCTAGTACGAGATGTGAGCACTCCACGAGAGATCTCTGTCGATAATGACGCCCAGGAATCGGTGACGTCTCGTATACGAAAGGTTCACGTTGTCGTTGAAAACAGGATATTAGATCACGGGCTTGGGGGAAAAGGGACCAAGGCGGACTTCGCAGTGGAAATTGTGAGGCCTCGAGCATGGAGGTACGTCGACGTTATTCTCGCTGCTTTTTGGAGCCGTGCGCGTAACTGGGGTTGTGTGACTGCTGAAGCCCAGATACATATATCATCAGCGTATGTAGAGAGATTGACTGATCAAGGTAGACTTCGTACAAGGCCAATGATCGTGAGGTTAAACAGCGTAGGGCTGAGAACCCCGCCTTGTCAAATCCCACGAGCGGTGTAATGATCAACTTTGCGGCCTTCCGCAGCAAGTACGAAGAAGGATCTCCTCTGTAGGTAGCTCCGAATCCATCGAAACATTTCTCCACCGATTCCAATGTTCGCGAAGAAATCTAGGATGGCATCGTTCGTTATGTTGTCGTATGCACCTTTGACATCTAGGAACAGTGCAACCGAGATGCGCTTGAGGTATTTCTGTTGTTGTACAGAGGTTACGAGGTCGATGACATTATCAATAGAAGAGCGGCCTCTTCGAAAACCAGCCATGGCCTCTGGGTATATATTATAGCGTTCAAGGTACCACTCGAGGCGTGTCAAAACCATTCTTTCCATTATTTTTCCCACGCAGGCAGGCAAAGATGTAATAAACGGCTAGTTCAGGGCTATGCTGGTCACCAGACCAAATCACACACATGTACGTAGGCGGATGTCACACTGACTGACTCGTAAAGTGCGCCGTATTAATTTCATTGACACATCGACACCCCCAGGCGCCGGAAAGGTAAACTAATTGTATCACATCCCTCTCCCATTCATTATGAGATGCAAACAATTGATTAGGGTGAGTACTGCGATCTTGGTTGTCGAATTCTGGTACTTCGATTCAGGACAGGAGTGCTGGGTTCTGTGACCGCAAGTTTTGTTTCCCTCGCCTCACCTACCCTGGGATATTTCCTAGACTATGTGTCGTGAAGGAAATCTGGAGTTAGCTGCCTTTGACCCACAATCCCACATCCCGCCTTAGGGAAAGACCTGTAGCCACGGTGCTGCCGAACTTTTGCTTGTCTGCACTTTGTTCTTTAGAGGGCTGGCGGATGTGATTCAGATATCGAGTTAACCACCATTCGTCCTCCAGTAGAACGTCCATGGATGATGTACGTTGTTCGGTGATAGTTGCAGGTAACCACAGAGGACCTGGACGGAAGTTCCTTGCAAACACCTGGTCACCCTGGTGACCCAAGATCCTGGGTCTTCTTCCTCGGTCGCACCTGATTTTCTGCTTAAGTAGGTTCTGTAGCACCGTAGTCCGGAGGTCTGGGTGTAGAAGGTCCAACGTTGCCCTCAGCTTCCGCCCCAACAACAGCTCCGATGGACAGCTACCCATGACGTTGTAAGGCGTTGACCTGTAAGTCAGGAGAATGCAGGCAATTTGAGTGCGATTATCTCCAGAGCCAGCCTTCCGCAACTTGTTTTTGACAGTCTGCACTGCTCGCTCTGCAGCACCGGTTGACGCTGAATAATGGGGCGGCACCAGCGTTCACCTCACCCTGTTTTTTTGAGAAATTTGTAGTAGAGCTCACTAGTAAATGGCGGCTCATTATTCGACATGACCACATCTGGAAGGCCTTGGTTTGCGAACATAATTCGCATACAGGGAATAGTTGCTTCAGGAGAGGGTGTGGAGACCGGGAACCCTTCGATCCATTTTGAGAACGCATCGACTGCGATAAAAATAGGTGTTCCTGTAAGGACCAGCATAGTCCACTGGCAGCCGTGACCACAGTTTCTGCGGGAATAGCCAAGGCATGACAGGCACTGGTCGGGACACTCTTTGATGCTCCTACCAAATACGCCACCTTTGAATGGTTATCGCCATATTGTTATCCAAGCTAGGCCACCACACATGGCTATGCGCAACTGCCTTCATTTTGAATTCTTCTGGATGACTCATGGAGCAACTGGAGGACTTCCCCTAGTGAGGATTTCAGAACAATGACTTTTGCCCCAGAGTAGACAGTTCCCTTGAACACTGATCTCCAGAAAGCGCTTCCTTAGGTTTATCTGGCAGCCTTACCACAATGCTGCTCTTGCGATACCACGAAATATCTGGAGGTGGCTTCCGCAACAGTATTTGACGACAGCCCCCCTGGGTATACTCCTTCCAGCATTAACACTTCGGCAGGGCAGTCAACAACAAAATCGGTACTTGGCAGAGGTAGCCGGCTTAACCAATCGGCATGTGCAATTTGTGAACCCGGCTTATACTTCAGGCCGTAACTGTACCACGACAACAGCAAGGCTCACCTTAGCACTCTCGGAGAATAGGATTCGGGAACTGGTTTGTCTACTGCGAGCAAGCTGAGCAGTGGTTTGTGATCTGTGGCGGCCTCGAAATGCCAGCTCCTTAAGAACTGCCTGAACTTTGTAACGCCGAATAGAAGGTTCAATACCTCCTTTTCTAATTGGCTGTAGAATTTATCTGCAGTTGCCAGGCTGCAGGAAGAAAACCAATGGGGCGCTCTTCTCCAGATCACTCTTGTTGCGACAGTACTGCTCCAATACCGAAGAGAGATGCACCCGTGACAAGCACAGTTAGCTTTCCTGGGTGCACCAGTATAGCAGCAGAGGCCAATAGCCCCTTGGTTCTCCGAAATCCCTGCTCTTGGTTTCCCAGCGCCATGGTGTCCCCAACGCCAACAAACTATTGAGCGGCTGTAACGCAGCCGAAAGGTTAGGCAAAAACATTTTTTTTAAATTAACCAACCCGAGGTAACTATGAAGTTCCGTGACTATCGGGATGCGGGGGCTTCCAGCACTGCTTCAGTCTTAGCCGGGTTTGGACGCAGCCAAGCAGCAGTAATGATATGACCAGAGTACCGAAATTCTAGTTTCAATAATTCGCATTTGGATAGCTACAGTCGCGATCCCGCGGTTTTCAGGCGATCCAACAATCGGCGTGAATTTCCCCAATGATCTTTGTCACTCGTTCCTGTGACCAGAATATAGTCAAAGTACACTATGACATGGTCAATATCGCAAAAGATTTTCCGTCTCTAACTGAATTATAGCCGAAACTGATGAAGCCCCGAACGGCAGCTTTGTGAATTGGTACAACCCCCTCGGAGTGTTAATGGTGACTAGCTCTTGGCACTCCTCATCGAGTGGGACCTGCTGGTAGGCGTCTTGCAAGTCAAGCTTTGTGAACTTCTTGCCTCCTGTAAGCCACGCAAAAAGTTCCTCAATTCTAGGAATACAGTAGGACTCGACGACTGTCACCAAGTTTATGGTAGTCTTAAAATCGCCGCAGACCCGAACCTTGCCATCACGCTTCAAAACAGGAACTCTGGGCGAAGCCCACTGAAAAACTTTCACCGGTTTGATAACACCTTCCCGTTTCATCATCTGTAATTCTTCAAAAACCCGATCATGCAAAGCAAATGGTATCGGACGTGTCTTGACAAAACGTGGCTTCGCGCCCTTTTGTACTGATATCGAAGCTGCAATCCATGAAACGTAACAAGCTGTCCCGAATAATCATCGTGATATTGTCTTACCAGGTCTTTTGTAGACTTCACGACGTTGACTTCCTCCGTATGAGCGATGCCTAGCTTGAAGGCCTTCATCCAGCTTCGTCCAAACAGCGTAGGACACGCCCCTTTTACGACAAGTAGTGGTAGCTAGCGCTCTTTGTCGCGAAGTTTAACCATTGCTTCGAGGTTTCCCTGGACGCCTTTCCGTTCGCCAAAAAAAAAGAAAACTCAGCTGTACGATCAATGGCTTCAATAGCACTAACCGAAAAAGCTCGGCGAACTCACCTCCATAAATGGTCGACACACTAACTCCGGTGTCCCATTTCATATCGAGCGTTATGCCGTTAACTTCAACCGCTATGCCCATTGGCTCTGAACTAACCGTGTGAAGCGTCCGCAAGTCGAAAACTTCGTGCTCTTCAGCACAGACAGGCAGGTCATCCACGTTGTTCACGCGACTAAACCAGATGCGACTAGACTGGCTCCGGTTGTAATTTCTGCTGCCCGGCTGAACTCTGCAAACTCTTGCAATGTACCATTTTTGACGGCAGTTGTGACAGATCGTTGCGCCATGCCTAGAGCGATGCGTAGAATGAGCTCCCCTGCAACGAAAGCAACAGCTATCATTTCTCCCCGAGGGGACAACGTTCGCTCGCTCCGGAGCTTTGTCAGATAGTAGCTATGCTTGCTGACAGCTCAATGCGCGTGAATCTTTACGTGCATCCTCCATAGCTACGATGGTGTCCTTCGCAGTTTCGAAGGTTAAACACGTCATTTCCACCAGACGTGTTTGCATGGTTACGTCATTGATTCCGCTGACTATCTGGTCGCGCAACAGTTGCAGTCTTCAGCTAAAGTTTTTCAACGAGGCAATGTAGCCACTTACGGTGTCCCCCTCTTTTCGATGCCTTGAGAAAAACTTGAAACTTTCCACTACTGCTAATACACGAGGGGTGTAGTGCTTGCCAAGTGCGGTAAAAATTTTGGTCAGTTGTGCTTGGGCGGGCCTTCTTGGTGCTAGGAGGCCTCACAGCAGAGAATAAGCCTCTGGGCGGCAGCATGTCCAAAATGCCGCTGTCTGCTTGTCGCTCGGGATGTCTTTCGCGATGAAGTACAGCTCGGCCTGCTCACGGTATTCCGCCCACTCAGATGTACTCGGGTCGAGCGAACCCAGCTTCCTGACAACAGTCACGACGACGTGTGATTGCGCCATGCCCGTCTGGCTCGTCAGTCGACCTCGTCGCCACTTGTAATAACTGGGTAGTCCGGGGCCATGCCGGTCGCCGGACTGAATCACATGCACTCACCTTCATGACTACTAGCGACGCTGACTGACACCAATAATAAAAAATGAGTTTTACGTTTGCAAACAACGCTATGATTACTAGATTCACTGTGTAGTGAAGGGCTCCGGAATTTCCAACCGTTTGGTGTTATTTAACGCACGCTGACATCGCATAGTGCTCGCGCCTCTACCATTTTACCTACACTGCTCAGTATGGATTCCGCAGAGAATGCTTTTCAAAACACAGCTTGCCATCTTTCTATATGACATTCATACTAATTTTCATATCTATACACAGAGTGACGTAATCTTTCTGAACTTCTGCAAGACCTTTGATAAGGTTCCCCACCAGCACCTATTTCTTAAGCTAAAAAAAAACTTAACTTGCATCCGTATGTCTTGATGTGGATTAGAAAACTTCTTAATAACCACTCCCAATCCGTAACTGTTATTATTCACTTATCTAACTCAGTAATGGTAACATCTGGTGCACTATTCTTCATATATATTAACGACTTATCTTTATATGTCTCTTGTAAACATAGATTGTTCGTGGATGATTGTGTCGTTTATCGCACTATATATAACACTCACAATCAAAATGCTCTCCAAAAAGATCTATATACCTTAGTTACTTGGTATGATGGTTGTGTAATGTTCCTAAATGCAAACAAATGTAAAGTTATGTCATTTTCTCGCAGTACTGATCCCATAGATTTTACTTACAAAATTAAAAGCACGCCGCTGGAGAATGTACATTCTTATAAATATTTAGGAATCACTCTTTGAAGCGATCTGACCTGGAAAGCTCATATTTCTAATACCATATCATCAGCTAACAGAACACTAGGTTTTCTTTGACGTAATTTTCATCAGGCCACCCGAAATGTGAAGTTACTCGCTTATCAGTCACTGGTAAGGTCAAAACTGAAGTATGCATGTGCCATATGGCACCCACATCAATCATATCTCATCAATTTGCTTGAAGCTGTGCAGAATCACGCTACTAAATTCATTCACTCGAGTTACTCATATAATATCAGCATTTCAGCACTAAAGGCAGAATCCGCTTTAACGCAGCTTTCTGATCACCGACGCACTTCCAGTCATTCTCTTTTTCACAACTTCTTTTACAGCACCCTTAATCAAGCTTTATTCATCGTTACCGCTGCGCACATTTGTTACCGCACCTCTCATCCGCAATAAATCACATAGTCACGTACCCGAACTGCTCACTTCTCTGCCTCATTCATCCAAAGCACTTCAAAAGATTGTAATGGCCTTCCTGCTGACATTGTCGCCATTACCTGCCCGTCCTTGTTCCTACAACGTGTAAATAATCAATATGAAGCTATTTATGTATAAATAATGTGGAAATTTTGTTAACACACCCCTTATGTAATGTCTCCTTCGGGAGACACTCAAGGTAAATAAACTGAGCTGAACTGAAATGCGTGCTCGCGGCGGTCATAATCGAACGCGTGACCATTGGGTCAGTAGCCGAGTACTCTAGGCAATAATCCACCAAAGTGGACAGTCCAACTACGAGGAAGTGGACACGTTTAACTACGTGTATATATGTCATAAACTTGCTGGGTGAGGGGGAAGGATAAATGATTGCCACTGTAGCCTAATTGCTAGAGCACTGCCAGTGTTATTTGAACCTCACAAGTATGGTGCCTGCCGGCGGCAAGCTGTCTCTTCATCCACCTTTGATTGTTTCCATTCACATTAAAATTACCACTAATAACATCTCTTATTAGTTCCTTCACATCACTGTATGTTAGTTCCCATTGATAACGGCCGCTGACACATACGCCGTTCCTCTCAGATGGGGCTACCTTGAGGTCGAATCGAGCCCCAACACAACGGACGATGTGCAGGCGTACGCTGCCGGCGCCCTAGAAGGGTATCTGACGCACCATCTCATGGAGGCCCAGTGGAAGAACATGTTCGCCCACTACTGCGACTACCAGATGAATTATTGCGCAATACTGTTCGACGTCCTGAAGAAAAATCTAGTTTACTCGTACTTCAATGAGAAACGCTTAAGAGCCAGTGACCCTTACTGGAACATGGTAAGTAAGTCATCTTGTTTACACATGATGTCTCACGCTAAAGAAAAAAAAAAAAACTGGCTGGGCTCTCTCCGTATTCGCCTAAGACTACTCGAACCCCAATTTCGTATTGTTTCTTATTCTCTCAAGACTAATCGAACTCGAATGTCAACTTGTTTCTTGTTTTTTTTTTTGTTTTTGAGGAGAGGGCCAGATGAATTGATCCTGCTCCGGCACTCGTGGAGTTGTTAAATGCCAAACATTTCTTCGCGAACGCAGAACCTCAGAAATCTATCTATCTATCTATCTATCTATCTATCTATCTATCTATCTATCTATCTATCTATCTATCTATCTATCTATCTATCTATCTATCTATCTATCTATCTATCTATCTATCTATCCAGCCGCCTACATCTCGTTGTTTTCGTGATCGCCCCCTTAATGCGTGGTAAACCATGACTAGTATGGGAGGGTAAAGTGGTGCGACAAATGTGACTCACTGCGGTTATGACATGAATAATGTCACTATACCGTCGCGTATATCATCGAACCCTTCCCGCAAAATGCGTGTCACATACCCGCGAGCGGGGATATGCCTCAGGTGATTGACATTTCATATCTACCCACGAACGGCGAGAACACACATGGGTAATTTTAACGTGTGAGCGTTAAGAAAAAGCTGACATTGACAGCATTGACTCGATGAATGCAAAGAATAAATGTCAGGGTCTCCGCAGGAATTGAACCCTATCATTCTGCATGGCAATGAAGTATTCTTCCGCTAAGCCACGCCAGGTCTTGGAACTACTTCTCAAATAGACACTAATGTTAATGAAGCGTACGTTCGTGTAGCAGTGGTGGCTATGCAATTTAAGAAACATTATACATGTACTCGTGTGATACAGCCGTCACGTTGGATTTGTGTCAATTGCAATTAAACGGCATCCGCTGAAGTTGATTGATTTATCAGTGCCCAGCGCTATCATTCTCGGGAGAACCAGCGCTTCATACTAATCTACCGCTTTCGTGTCGTTAATATCCAATTTTCTGTTGGTATCATTAAGCAACTGTGAACATGTAAACAACTGGTTATATAAAGCATATGCGGCTGTTTAGCGTTGGTCTGTGCGTGCGTATGTACATATATTCAGCGCCACTTCATAACGCTTCGCAGACTAAAAATTACAGCGCAGTCACCTTCCACCAGTAAGCACCGCATAACATCTATTGCCAACATACGTGCGATCTGCCAAGCTTTTCTGCGCCTAAGAGCATTGGCTCCTCGATCATAAGCAGTGCCAACACACAGCACCTCACCTCATTTCGCAGCACTGGCTTCATGACCAGCCCAACTTTAAGAAAGCGATGACGTCACCTGGAGACGTCACCATATAACGTGAAATTACGCCAAGGTATTGCCTAAATATGATAAGTCATGTCATACTTTCATCGCACTATGACACCACCAAAATAGGTGATCCTCGACATGACGATGATCTCATATGATGATTTGTTCGCGTTATGATGAATTTCACACGAAATGCTTTTATGACGGAGCCCACCGCGACTCCACTGATGTAAATCCATCATGAAAGTAACGTCAAAAATCTCCACGGTACGTGGTCTGTGTTGCACGCACGCTTCTCAGACTCGTAATTCGGGACAGAGTGAAGGTCACTTCAAACGCTGCCTCGGCCGCGTTTATGGAAGGAGCGCACGGCTCACACATGACGCTGTAATAATTGTGACAATTGTTCATGCTTATCTTCTGTACCTTAGGCACTCGTTTCGCGCGTATTTCTTTCTATTTAAACAGCAAGCTTCAAGTGTCGAGCTATGACAGTTGTTAGTCCACGGTCGTCCTCTGTATGCTAGTTTCATGCGTGCTTTCTGCTTGAAGTATGCACTGCAAGTTTCGAGCTCCTAGCTTTCCTCGTTTCATTTTACAATTTGCTGCTTTTGCTGAAAGAATGCGCAATAAACCCGTCGACTACCTGTGTAAAGACACGCTTCACTTTCGGGTTAAACAGATCCCTATACAGGGGGATCAGCCATGGCTATTGTTTATCACTCATGTTCACACCGACACCGCGGAACACCGACGGTCACCCCTTACGTTTCATGAGGCACCCGAGGTTGTGCCCCAGCAACCGAAACTAAAATGCCACGCATTTACTGCGCGAATATGTTTATGAAGCAGGAAAGCTTCACCGGCACACCAAAAAAGAAAAAAAAGGTCTCCACAACATACTGCTTGTCTACAACATACTAGCGTCTACGTGGTCAACGTAGGCAACGTTAAGCCTCACTTTCAAGAAGAGCTGCTTCTCACTTGCTCAGAAACAACGTAAGCAATGTGGCGGCAAGCCTTCTTTTGTCAACTCTACATAAGCTTGGCTGCTTTCATAGGCAAGTAAAGTCTCAATAACTAAATTAACGCACAAGGTTCAAGAAACGCAGAGCACAACATGCGGAATGCTTAGGCCGCGTAATAAAGCCTACTTCTTTGTCGTGTGGACGTTTTTACACTGGACAAACCGGGTGCTGCTTGAAATACCATCCTAGAGAACGCGCGTTCAATAACAAGTCCTCAACACGCAGCATCTTGGCAGGACGTATTACTTCGTGTGGTCGCACTCCACTTTTTGAGGAATGTGACGTCATGTCAGGGTATAGGAACCCGAATGAGCGCGAAATTGACGAAACGTGTCAAGTCAAGAAAAGCCCTGAATTGGTCTCCTAAAACAGGAGGTAATGCGACATTTTTACTTCAAGTTTTGTCATTACCCCGTTACAGTTTAAGTGGTGTCTCGCGCAAACCACGTCGAATGACCACGAACCATTAAAATAATCTTCGAATATTTCGATGCGAATACACTCGCAAAGGGAATAATACAGTTTCTTCTTAAAATAACGTGACCAATAGCGACAACACTGGAGTATTCGATGGCACATGTGGAAATGCCGTTAAGCATCACCACTTATCAGTTGATCGACTGCCGACGCTCAGTTCACCGCACCGGTGGTTGGTGGGCTGAAGAAGTAGGCATTTCATAAATCGGACTTGAGTTCTCAGAAGCTGCAAGTTCCTTCACACTTACCACCTAAAGCTCGAGCAGAAATTTATTTATTTATTTATTTATTTATTTATTATTTGGTTTACATACATAAAAACAGAATTGATTGATTGTTTGATTGATTGATTGATTGAAATGAGGGATTTAACGTCCCTAAACCCCCTTTAATTGTTAGTGACGCGGTAGTACAGGGCTCCGAAAATTTGGACCACCTGGGGTTTTTTAACGTGCACCCAAATCTGAGCACACGGGCCTACAGCAGTTTCCCTTCCGTCGAGAATGCAGCCGCTGCAGCCGGGATTCAAGCCCATGACCTGCGGGTCAGCAATCGAGTACCTCCTTCACTAGACCACTGCGGCGGGTCACACAAAACACGAAGACGCAGTGGAAATAGAGAAGGAACAGCTGAAAAAAAGCCTTGCAGAAAACTTTTCTGTTCAGAGAAATATTTTCGTAGCAAGCTTCCATGTGGCCTTGACTGCTGCCGTTTACCATGGTAGTCACCAGGCCTTGACTGCTGCCGTTTACCATGGTAGTCACCAGGCCTGCAGTGGTGGTGAGACCTGGTGTCCTGTATTTACGACACAGAGACACAGTTCTCATTTTAATTATCTTGTTCTGCCCCCTCTACTGCTCTGTTGACCCCAAGGCTTGCGGGGGAAGTGATCAGGTCAGGATGAAAGTCTCCTAAGTAAAGACGCGTCTCACTACTTTCCAGTAGGGGAAATGTGGTCCTCGTACCACGCTTCCTCTCTGCACCGCTATGACATGTGTTCATGTCGGGGATGCCATACTCGGTCCTTGGGTGCACGGCCATGAAGTACCGCTGACTTCTTGTCACGAAGCCGATGTGGCCGGACGGCGGAGTCCCCTCCGCATGGCGGAGAAGGTCGGCGAGACTGCGGGAAAATTTCAAATGAGCTGAAACGCATATTCTAACCCTTGTAACTTCCTTATAATAGTAAGTACAAGGAAAGTTTTTGTGGCGGCGCGTTCACATATAAAACCTGCGCAAACCTGCGCGTTCACATATAAAACCTGCGCATAAAACCTGCGCATCTCAATTTTCCGACCTCAGGGTTGTTTACTGGCCTTTTAATGGTTTGACGGATGTATGAAAATTTTCAATAATGGCAGTGTCTATAGCTTTAAGCAGCTCCAGGCTGAACAATCTATAAAATTGTCAAGTTCCAAGTTTTAGCTTGAATGCTCAGCAAGATATTTATTACATAAAGTTTTACCCTTGTATGAGTTAAGGGGGTAAGACGATAGCATTTAATAAACATGTGAAAGAGTGACGTTTGTGCTCTATCCTCAGTGCTATTGGGATAATTGCTTTGGGTGTCTGTAAGGACCTCATTATAGCTAATTTTTAGTGCAAGAAAATCAAGTGTTGTCGGTGTAAGTTGCTTACGTAGCCTTTCTTATTTGTGCTAACCCTTGCTATATAGCATAAGCAAAAATAAATAAACTACTGAGCAGATGTGATGACTTGTAGTGGACGCCTATTGTTAGGTTCGTCCTCGGGTGTATTGTCCGTAAGAGCTGAAATTTAGATTTCTTTGAACATGGCTGTCTGAATCCTTTTGATACAGGTGTTTATACGAGGCGATCTCATTAGGTGGTTCCCGCATCATACTGGAACCGAACTTCCCTGAAACATGCTCGTTTCTGAAAATGACCAGCACCCTACATTTACGCAAGCTGCACAGCAGAAAATCTTGTTTCACAACTATGAAACGAGTCCATTCAAACGCTTATTTTTCGTCGTGTACCATTTCGACAGGTTCACCTCCAAATGAGGCAGCTTCATGGCTTGAGTGACGCCTTCGAGAACGTCACGCTTGACCCGTCACGAGGATACACAAATGATACCAGAGCTTGGTAAGTGTTTACGGCAACGTATTTAGCATATCTATTCAGAAGCGTAGATGTACGTTCTTCTGCATTCTATGATGTTCTTAACCCCTTGTATGGTACTTAAGGCAACTTTTCCCTCAGTCGCCTTTCGATTCACTCGATGCATGGCTCCTCACCTGCACCTAAAGCTTCTTGCACTTAGCGTAGCTTCGCACTCTCACCACGGTCGAAACCAACAGTAGACTTCTGATATTGGCCCATTTCTCACCAAGTGCAAATGTCATGTGATGACTTCATGATGAAACCACATTGAAAGCAATTAAGTCACAATATTATCATATGGTGACGTCATCACGTAATCAATATTTCTTGATGGTCGAATTTCGCTTTTTGGTCAGGCGTTTATGAATTTCGCTATAAAAACTATGCAGCCCATGGAACTTCCCTTGGCATGGATATGTGTGAGTGCACAGATAATGTCACAAAAGCAGCCAGCGTGCCATGGGAGTGCTTTATAGGAGCCAAGGTGAAAGAAAAAAAATACACATGGTCAAATCCCGCTGTGGTACATGGCATATTGTTTCCGCATATGTTTTTTGTACATGCCAGATGTGTAACCCCAATTCCTGTCTTGGCCCTTGGGCTGACAGTATGAATAAATAACAAAATAAATATGGGAACATGAACCATGAATGGTTGCTTGGCAACCAAGGAGCGACAGCTTCTTGTCAGCCGCACAAAGCTGCTTGCGGGATAGGAGCATTACACGCGCTTTAAGTGCTCTGGTCACAAAGAGTAGCCGAGTTTAAGCTCAAAAACGCATCTTGCAGCGATCTCTCCTGTACAAATTATTACTCGAAAAAAGTGACACATATGCGCATACAGCCAAAGTGTACTGAAAAAATGCGAGATTTTGTTGAATTTATCAATTATGTCTGCGCAGCAAGCGATGACAAAATGCCGACGCAAGCTACCAAATCATAAATGTCTGACAATGTCAGTGCTATATGAACGATTTCATATTCGCAACTTCATCAGCTGTTCAACTTACGCTCTTCCTATCTGTTTGATGTGCACATTTTTTCGCTTGTTGAAAAGAAATACTACTTCTACAAGCTGATCGTTGATCAAATATTACAGGTTCTTAAATCTTGACGGTGATTTGCTTGACCTTGAAGCAGCGTTCAAACGCCCTCGTGATATGTACGCTCTCAACCTGGTGCCAGCATGTACGGCGCTGGTCAAAGTGGTCGGTGACAACAAGGACCTTTACATCGGCCACGACTCTTGGTACCTGTATAAAAGCATGCTGCGAATTCAGAAGAAGTATACATTTCCCTGGCACTACGCACCTGGCATTACGGGACCAGGTCGGTACTGTACTGGCAACGTTGTATTTCCTTGCGGAAGTGATTTCTTTGGAAAATAATATTCCTCATCAGCACCATCGTTGTTATCTCCAATGTTTCGAAGACAACCCTTGAAGCTTTCGGCCTCATTTTTGAAATTTTAATAGAATATCTATGCTTACTACGAATGAATATATGTTTTCGAAATTCTTACAGATTTTCGTTGTAGTTTTCTGCTACAAATCATTAGATCACGGTTTTTTTTTTCTTTTCTGACCTTTCACCTTCCTGTGAACTTTGGTGGAATTAAATTGCCAAGGTGGCCATTGTGGCTTACTGCTTCAGCTTTCGGTTTTCTAATTACCTTGCGAGAAAACGCAGAACAGGCAAAACATCAGTATTGTTCTCCACTTGGATGGGGAGTCCTGAAGGCACATTCTCCACAATGAAACGACATTTTCTTGTACAACTAATTCCGCCACGGTGCCGTAGCGCTTGAGGTGCTCGGCTGTTGATCCGAAGGTCGCGAGTTTGATATTGTGCACGGCGGTCGCATTTCGATGCAACCAAAATGATAGAGGTACTGTACGATGTTAGTGCTAGTTAAGGAGCACCAGACAGTTAAAATTTTTAGAGCCCTCGAGTGCGGCATCCTTCATAATCATATTGTTGGTAATCGACTTAATTGTAGATACTATTAATAATGGAACAACTAAGTTATCTACAGTTAATCAGTTGGGGTGTTGAAGGTAGTTATTTTTGCTTTACTACTGCTTTAAGAGTTACTGTGGTCAAGTGAACTATTTAAGCGTCTGCACATGCAGGGATGTTTTCGCTGTTTCATGTTTTGCATTGCGAAATGGCAGACTACCGAGAAAGACACAACGCCTTAGTACTATAGAAAATGGTAGAGACGGAAAGGTAGGGAAGTCAACCAGTTAGTACTAGAAATTTTCAATATACTGTTGTGTCTGTGGTGTTGTATACGCCTAACGGCCGTTACACATTTATAGTAGGCAACTCTTTGTCTTTTCACATTGCTCCCGATTACAAAATGAACTGCTGATATTGGGCACGAGATAATTTTATTATCAAAAAGTGCTCTGCGTGCTTAATTACTGTATGCTTTCTGCAAGCAACTCTGTCCGCTCTATTCTACCAGCCTCTCCACATAGGCGCGAGTTACCTGATCAAATTTAAGAGCACACTGGTAATGCGATAGATCTCCATCACACGGACACTTTGCCCCTGACAAAGTGAATTTCATACGGTTCAAAGTGTAACCATTAAAGTAATTTTTTTCTTGTTTACCCTGATTTTGCAACAAACACGCACAAATGAATCACCAGGCTTGCGCGCAAAGCGCAGCATCCGCATGGTGAAAGTTCGAAGATCATCATTTCTACAACCCACTGGAAACTCTCTTAAGGCTACTAATTCAAGTACGCCTGCGAAGTACCCATTTCTCGATTAGTTGATTCTGTGTCTGATGGCGATGGCAGCACACGCAAACTGTACATAAATTTGTAAATTCATAACTCAACGTATTCAACAGCTGTGCGTTTCGTCAACAGAGAAGAGTTCGATTATTTTGCAAATCAATTGTGACAAAAGCTATGCGCCTATTACAGATGGTATAATTCCTGGCCACACGATAACCATGTCTTCCTATGCCGGAAAGCTGGTTTCCTTGGACGACTTCTACCTGACGTCAGCTGGACTGGTATTACACGTGTCTTTAGATGTCGTACATGCTGCCGTGTAAAAATTGTACCTCTTGTCATATCTACTATTTGTGCCCATTGTTATGCCCTGCATTGTCCCCGCTTTGAGACGCTGTCATTCCTAAGGTTAGGCAAGTGCTTATGAAACATTCATGAACAGCGTGGTCGTGAAAGCACACTTCGAATTAAATCTCAGCCCGGGGTCCTGCTGTACTTTCTCTTCCATCGTGTCGTCTTCGACATCTGAGGTTCTGAGCTTACCTATAAGGTTGCTTCATTTTCTTCTGGTGATTCCACATTGCATAATTGCATTGTTTTCTCTACAGAACCTCAATACATTAAGAAAACATTTGAACAAGTGTGACTTCATTTGTGAAGCCCCATTTCCGAATTCTCGGTACATGACTCAATATGCATTGAAGTGAAATTCAGAAACATTCTGAAATCATCCCCTTTTCAGAGATTATAATAAACATTGTTTTGTGTACAAGAGCAGAACATTTATTGTTTGAAGTGGGGGCTTCCTTACTAAATTACTTTGTGTGAAGGCCGATTCCTACCACAAGAATAAAGCGTGTACAGAGTCATCAGGCGCATCATCGTAATACCGTGTTCATTTTTTTTTCTTGTGAAATCTTTTGCACAAGAGCGAATGGAAGCATAAGAGAACTTGTGCAGAAAGTAGAGATAGACATACAAAACCACTTGGAACTAACTTTTCATTTTAAGACATTTCAGTTCAGCTAGCTGTATTTTTGCCGTTTCAGACGCTCTTATAATAAACGCTAGCCGACGCGATGTATTCTATTGTGGGGCTTTGAGCCGCAGCTAATAGTGAAGAGGCATCGCTTTTTATTATACCAATGACTCTGCGATCTCGTGCTTTCAGTATTACTGACGGATGAGAATGTGACCACGTTCAGTGCACCAAATAAGGCAAAGTATTACTTTGCATCGTGATTGATCGCTTTGAATTATTTCTGTGACAGTGATTCAAAGGAAGTCTTCAATATTGATTTATACACTCTTAATACGACCGTGTTGGGTTGACAGAAATAAAATGTAATTTTATGGAAAATATTACCGTGGAAGGCACTTTTTAGTTCACATCTTTCTTTCACGGGCTACTTTGTATGTATAGCCATGCAGCAATACCACGAAATTTAGGTGGATGTCTAGGATTCCATTTTCGTTACTGAAATTACTACGCTTTCAATCAAGTTTGTCAAAGAAACTTTCGTAATTCAAAAGAGCGCGAGAACGTTAGGATTTTTGTGTTTTGTCGGCGAAGCAACCATTTCATCTGATATCATTGCTTAGAAGAACCGATCGTTGGTCGAGTTAGTAATGCATTGCGATTTAAATTTTGCGCAAAAAGCACGAACAAAAGGAGAGAAAAGGAGAAATCACAGACAGGCGCAGACTAAGAACTAAAAATATTTTTGCAGGACACACATATAACAAAACCCAGGACGCCTAGTTATGATGACTGTTAGGCGGTAATATAATCAATCTCGGGTTTATTACTCTCCCAGCAAAGGCGACGCGTCATAGCGTGACCAAATGAGGAATATGAAAATCACCGAAAAATTCGCAGGCTATCACTGAGACGTCCCTTGTGAACAACAACCCTCACTTGTGGAAGCTGATTGACCCAGCAGCGGCACCATTTACTTGGGTGCGTGCCATGGTGGCGACGAGGCTGGCCACATCTGGACGAGAGTGGGCTGACATATTCGGGAAGAAAAATAGCGGCACGTGAGTATGGCAGCTGAAGTTGCCAACGCACTTTCATTGTTCACTTAGTTCGGAACGGTGCGGCTGTTCAAGCAGCCAATCTCTTGCAAAGCATACGCCGAAACTCGCATAGCGGATGCGCCAGGAAAGTTAGGCATGCCCCACTACCGAGGTGCGAGGCAGGTGCGAGGGAAAGAGAAGACACTGCACAAAGAGAGTAGAGTGAGAAAGAAGGACATTAGAGGGAATGGAGGTTGAAAGTTCTGCTGGGAGAGAGTATAGCCAAGTAACACGAGGAGGGCAGAGGGAAACAGTAGGAAGGTGAACATTTAGGGCCCTGCAACACTTTTTCAAGTAAAGTTGGAGTAAATTCACTCAACGAGTTTATTGCCTCGCGAATTTTTGAAGGATTTTAGAAGAATTTATCACAACTTAAAACTTTTAGAATCCGTCTAGTACGAGCGGAGTTAGAAGGATTTGCCACACCAGAAATTTCATTATCTCTTTTCTCGTCTCACTCTCTCAGCCCTGGAAGCTAAGCAGGGAGAAATGGCACGGGTGAATAAAACACATCACGTGCGCCTCGTGACCTTGAGCACTTTTTCGTTTAGTTTATTCTTCGAATACTCGGCTTTTCAGAGCGATCGCTTGCGCGTGCGTGGACAAGTCGTGGCCTCTGGCGGCAGCCCAAGCAATCACCTAGTGCGCCATGCTCAAATTAGCCAAGGACTAATACAAAGACCCTGACGAGTGAAGTTTGAGCTTTGGCTGTCATTTGTCGAGGAAAGACAAAATATTTTTAGTTTCATTTTAGAATTTATTGTAAATTCTAAGCTACATGCTACAATAATACCTGGCTCGCGTTTTAACGGAAGCTTCTGCTACCAATCCGCAACATTTTCGCACAAGACTCAAAGGTGTTTTTGAGCCCTTTTAAGCAGGAGATTCGATCGGCTGAACGAAGATAGTAGAAAACTCGATAACGTTTGTGCGCACAAAAGAAGAAGAAAGTAGTGGATGAGCAAATGGGAGGAAGAAAAGGAGGAGAACATTTTTTAACTAAACCAAAATAAAATTTCTGTCGAGGTGGGATTCGAACACAAGTGTCGCAAAGTTCTAGGCTATTCAGGCATGATAGAGCGACTATTTCGGGGACCATATAGTTCATTAGAAAATCTTGAGGGGCTAGTGGTAGAGCAAGCGGGTCGTAAAAAAAGTGATAATGAGGAGAAAAAAATGGATAATGTGAGAGGATACATTGCAACATAGATATGTTTAATGCATTATAACAAGAAGGTCGGAAGAAAAATAAGGGTGAGGATGGGATACACAAAGGGACAGCTGAGCCACATACTTGGCATTTCTCAGACTTCATGCCACTAGCATGTCTAGCTGCTGCAAATTTCTAACAGCGGAGCAGTTTTGGCGGGGATGGGTCAACAGAAATAATCATCTTGAACCGAACCGTGCTCTCTTCAACCTTTTGTGGTCACTCCCAAAACAATTGCCGTAATTTTCTCAGCGTGGCCTGGAATACTTTTGATGGGTGAGTGAACGGTTTTATATAAAACAAAGAATATATGAAGGGAAATACAAAAATTCTTGGCGCAATACATCTTCTTGAAAGAGTTTAGATAAAGCGAAACCTACAAAAACAGAGAAAGAGCAATTACTCGGGGGAAAATGGCCTTCATCAGACGGGATTCGACCTCACGTCAGTCTCCAGAAGCTCAGCGCTAGTTTCGGTTTTAAGGAACATGCATGCTCGTAGTGGTTGCCGGGCCTCCTGAGATCTGGTTCAATGAATTGAGGTTCATGTAGATGTTCGCATATGTTAGCTTTCACAAGTTAGTACTAATAAAAAAAATTGGATTCCACGGTAAAGAACTTTTTCTTACGTTTTTATATCTTTTTTATTTTTATGTTGTAAACTCTAAATCAGGCGAAGTGCGGGAAGTGGCTGTCCTGAGTTTGAAGCGCTCGCCCCAGCTCCTGCTCGCCCCTCGCTCAATGATATTAAAAGTTGGATAGTGCTCAGTTATCTCACTAGCTAGGCGTGCCTGTCAAGGGAAAGATAAGTACAGCAAATTGTGGCGAGCATAGAACGGGGGCCTCAGTGAGCTACACCAAGCAAGTCAACCATGCATTCGACGAATATGCCTAAACCACACTACACAAGCTTTTCGCGCCTCTGCGGTGTGTTAACCTGGGCATTCCCAGCTCACTACAAACTGACATTCTAACCGATAGCTGTTATGTGTAGGTGTCCATTTTTTTTCACCTAAAGAAGTTGAATAAAATAGTGCAGAAAATTTATGAATGTCTTAGGTACAACAACCAGTGGATGGTTCTTGATTACAAGCTGTTCAAGCCTGGAACTGCCATTGCTAATGACACGTTGTGGGTCCTCGAACAAATGCCGTAAGTACAGGTCCGTTTTACATAGCATAGCGCAGTGTGCAATTAATGGTCTCTTTTCGTTCTAGAGGCATAATGCGTCAGCGAGACGTCAGTGACATTCTTCGTAAGCAGAGCTACTGGCCAAGCTACAATGTCGCGTGAGTACGCTGTCTATTTGGGGCCTCGTACTGACTAACATCTGCTTAAGTCGTGCTAGCTCTTAAGATTAACGAACCAGACTAGCACACGGAAACAGAAAACTGACGTATATGAGCGCTAGCAACTTTTTATTTCATAAAGATTGCAAGTTACTTACGAGGTCCATCGAGCATTTTCGTCGTGTTACGCCTTCCTATGAAGTACTTAACAAAGTACTAAAACAAGGCCTTGGAACGCACATCATTCTTTCTCGACGGAGGCACTAGAATGTGCAGTAATAGAGGAATTACTGCGGATTATTAGTGAGAAAGGGCCATATGGTTCCAAGACAGTGACGAAAAATCTGACCTACTCGTGCTGTACGTGAATCTGTCAGTTAGGGAAAAGAATAGACTTTGAAGAGCAGAAAAAAGCGTTTAAGCGGACATGGAATGCCAACTGAATAATTATCTGTTCTAGATCTGGGCTAACCTCAGAACCAACAAAGGTACTTGCGCTGGCATGTTTATTGCTACATTGAAAGTGTGGTGACGGACTCACTTTTCATACGGATAACCAGCTACATTGCGAAAACAAACACTAGATTATGCTCAGCGAAGAAAACCGAAGAAAAGGAAGATCACTCTATCAGTAGACACTTTTTGTGAAGGAAGTGATTACACAATGTCTGAAAGTACCACGTTCTTTATTAAAAAAACAAAAAAAACTCAACAACATAGGATTGCTACAAGGGTCTGCAGAATGAATGCGTGCGTGCGCCAGCCAAGACGTTAAGGCGATGGATGAAGGCGAGAGCAGTTAGCGCTCCTGTAGCGCCTTCAAAGGCTAACGCCGGCAACTTTTTCCACCACATTCATGTAGGATGCTTTTATATTTTTGAGACGTTCCTGTCCCGGGGGCAGTCGTGGGAATAGTCAGCAAATAGGAAAATTTTTGCTGCCATTTCAATCATATGAGCATACTCAACTGTTTTGTGCCATCATGGTCAGTGTAAATCGCAAATCGAAATGATCCCCCCGCCCATCGTATGTTCTACTGACGTGTGCAAGCACGCTAGTGAGAGAGGCGAACGAGGCTGAAGCAATGATCAAGCAAGCCCTTCCATCACTCTCGCTCAGAGGGGACGTGCGACAATATCCCCGGCATGTTCGACCTGCCGTTGAATCCTCTAAGAGAGATCACCCAGGTGGAGTTTTACAAGCATAAAAGGTAGTGCGTGGGTGTACTTCAAGCAGGAGCTGTGAACGTTGTGTGCTAGGGCGTGGTGATTTTGGCAGCTTGACATCTCGGCAGGCGTAAGCGGTTAGCTCGTGTACCTTTCCAATCTCTATGTGCTCTGCTTTTGACGCTAGAGATACACAATCGGTTGCTTTACCTGCGGCGGCCATATCCACATGCGCTAGTGTTTTTTAAATTAACGTGAAACTAGATCTGGAAGAGTCCGCTATCAGTCTTCGTTTGATATTACGATAGGTTGCTGTCGCATACATTGCTTCACTCCTGTAATGAAACAAATGTGCTTTTATAAGCAAGAAAGTGCGACACGACGACCAATACCCAACTAAGTTGTACAGTCTTAGGTACATCGTCAAGACATACCGGCCCCGGTAGCGTGAAGTATGAAAGCTGCGAAAGGTGCCAATACCTGACGCTCAGTGAAAGGCGGATAAGCCGTACCAGCCACACCTTGTGCCAACGGCACAATGTCATTGGAGCTGTAAGACAGTTGAAGCATTTGTATGTCAAATAGACTCGTCATTTTCCTTCGATCAAACATATCGCACTAGTTCATTTATATGCTTTCCTGAATGCGCTATCCACCGCTAGATGGAACCATCTGTTCAAGCTGCTGAAAGCCAAATTTTCGGCTGCCAGCATCGGATGTATTGCTAATGTTAATGAGCCCGTAAACCACGCCAAGTTCAACTGCGAGACACGTAGTATCTGTTTCAGCGGCGAAAATCAAAGTCGCTGTAAGCTCTGCAATCGGCTTTGCATGACTGTTTTTTTTTAATAACAGGACACCATAAGAAAAAACTTGCAGCGTCTTGACCTGAAATTATTGCGAGAATGAATGAGACGAATAGAAAAACAAGCTTTTTTTAAAACTTAAAATAAAGCGAAACTGATAAATTCTACTTGCCACTTTTATACTAATAATACATGCTATTCGTTGACGTTTTATGTTCATACGTATTTTAAGATTTTTATGTATGGCTTTGATCAACTTCCTGAGCCTGTTACGTGGTAATGACAGATAAATTCAATTTGCAACTATTCACAAGGTGAAGTCGGGCATTATCTGTTCGCTGAAAGGGCTGTAATATCGTCTCAAAGAACAAAGCAGCTTGTTTCTCATTTATTACTTGTTTCTTTCTAGAATCCAGCACGGTTATGTAGCGCTTATGCTGTCCGGCAGCTGACCGGAAGGTAGCAAGTTTGAGCTCACCCACGGCCGTCAAACTTCATAGGGGGTCAGATTCTAGAGGGCCTGGTACTGTGAAATTTCAATGCGTAAAGAAATGCAGATCATCAAAACTTGAGTGAAAATTTGTTATTTCTTGTTCCTGCCTAGAGCAAGAAACAAGAAAAACGGAAATTAAAAAACGTCATGCGCTTCAGAAACGAACAGAAATTGTAAAGATTTTTGTGGCGTCACTTATAATAAATAATCAGTAATTGGCATTCACCGTTAAGATGAGTTATTAGAAAGAATTGAGTGAAAATTTGTGTGCACGCGCCTTGACAAGGCAGCAATACTTTTTCAATCCGCTGAGATAAATCGATCAATGATAGTCCTGTAACTTTCACTTATTCTTCATTATTTATTCAGCTACTTCGATGACATATTCAAGATCAGTAATCAAACAGCACTTGTAGAAAAATATGGAGACTACTACAGCTATGACAAGTCACCCAGGGCGAATATCTTCAGGAGAGACCACGTCAATGTCACGGATCCTGCCTCCATGACGAGGCTTATGAGGTAATGTGGAATACTTTAGCCATTTTTCATGTTTGCTTTTGTTCTGGAAAAGTTGCGGCTGCCGTGCACTATCCATGCGGAAATTCTGGAAACAGCAGTGTTGGGGGAGTTTTCGTTCAAGCTTTTTTTTGTCCCTCCTCAACCCTCCTTCTCTTTCCTACTCCTTTGCTATATTATACCGTATTTGAGTATGCTACAACTTCTTTCATCCTCATATTACTATGCCACACCTTCACTTCACATTCACCCTTTCCATACTGTGCTACACATGGCTATGATATGCTTCACACTCTCTCTCCTTTCTTTTTTACTCCACACTGATGTCCCTCTCCCATTTTCTTGTTGTGCAATACGATACAGCGACACAGCCGCTATGGTATGCTTGTTTTGTTTCTGGTTCTCTCGCCTTTTTTCTCTCCCTGTATTTCTTCGATTGTCTATTTTCAGGTCTTCTCTCACCTTTGTTTGTTCCTCTGTGTGTTAACACTTTCTTTTTTTTCGGGGGGGGGGGGGGGGGTCTGCTTTTTTCTTTCTCTTTGTTTCTTTCAGCGTATTTCTTCGTTTGTAGTTCTATCGTTTCTTCTCTTTCTCTCTTTATTTCTTTCCCTTAGTTTTTACTCGTTCTCTTGCACATAAGAGTTATTGCATCGCGCGCTAGATAAATGAGTGTGTGTGTCCTTGCAGCGTATAAAGAAGAGGACAAGGGAAACTGCGTGATGTTCATAGTAACAATAGTTTTTTTTTACAGCTAACGGGGTTTCACCGAACATAAATAGCTCCGTCGTTAGATGAGACACACCTGCCTTACGTGCACGATACCATTCGCTGTGTCAAAAATGTTCATGAGTCAGTATAAATTAGTACAATTATTCATTTTTATTAAAATTTTCTACTGCAAAGACCATTAGGAGCTTGAGCTATCATATGGCGTCTTCGTGTATTGTAGCTTAGTGTAACGCTGGCAAAGCCACTGGCGCGTCCTGGCGTGGCTACGGAGCTACGCCACCACATGTAGCGCAGCCATCCGTAGCACAAGCATGTACATTAAGAGAGCGAGAACTGTAAGTCAGGCTGAGGAGCCATGCGAGGATGAGAAGCAAGCTGAGGAGTGAAAGGGCAGGGAGGGAGAGGCAGATTGAGAGGACGAAAAGATTGATTGATTGATTGATTGATTGATATGTGGGATTTAACGTCCCAAAACCACCATATGATTATGAGAGACGCCGTAGTGGAGGGCTCCGGAAATTTCGACCACCTGGGATTCTTTAAGGTGCACCCAAATCTGAGCAAACGGGCCTACAACATTTCCGCCTCCAGCGGAAATGCAGCCGCCACAGCCGGGATTCGAACCCGCGACCTGCGGGTCAGCAGCCGAGTACCTTAGCCGCTAGACCACCACGGCTGGGCGTGAGGACGAAAACAACATTCTAACATCTTATGTCCCCGCTTGGTGTCACGAACCTTATGCACTCTATATTATAGACATGTATAACAAAAAGGTGGAAATTAGAAGTTGGAGTGAGGCGGAGTGATTGGAGGGAAAGACTGGGAAGAAGTGCAATGTAGAGTAAAAAAAAGCAGAGCCATGTGTGGCGTTAGAAAGGCAACAGCATTTAAAACACAGCCATGAATACAAAGGTAATGGGAAAGGGACGCGATCTTGAGGAAGGATGTTGCGAGGGTGAGGATAATGGAAAGGAGAAAATATGCTTAAGTGTACCATAGTCCTGTATGGCGTCATGACGAAACAATTATGTAAACAATCACAAACAGCCGTGCTTAGCAAATATGTGGGAAAGGGAAGTGAGGGTGAGGAGGAAATTGAGAAAAGGAATGGGTGAAGCAAAGTGTACCCATGTATTGCGTCACGTAGGCAAAACCATTTATAGCATAGCCGTGTATAGAGCAAGGGTGGGGAAGAGAACTGCCAGTGACGAAGTAAAGGAGAGGGCTTGTAGGTGTAGCATGACGTAGCCAAGTAAGTTTAAGTAAAATTCTGAGCGCAAATTAGTGGTGCGGGTACAAGGACGAGACACACACACTACGAGCGCTTGTGGTACGTATTTCTCTTCCTTAGACCCTCGTCGTTTATTTGTGCTCAATTTTTTGTTTAATCATCAAATAACAACTAGACCAGCAAGATCTATTATTACAAAACCAAGTATGGCTTTTCGTAGGCAAAAACATCTGTGGCATAGTAACCTTAGTGACGTATGGCGTTAGGCAGGCCCAACAAGAGCCACCTATAAGCTAACCATGTATATCTATCATGTTTAAAAGCTAACGGCTAGTGACGACAAAAAAAAGGAGAGGAAAATAGGCTCTCCATGTATCATGTCATCTCAAGTGGTCGCTTGGTGTCTCACAAGTAAAACCGTGAATGACATCGCCAATTGGAGGTAGGTGGTAAGAAAGGATCAAAGTGCGTGTGAGGAGACGAAAGCAGAACCAGATCACGGTGCAACATGGCAATCGAACGAAAACGTGAAATTAAGGTGATGAGCAGTGATGTAAAAAGAAGCGAAGAGAAATAAGGAAGGGAGACTGTAACAATGAATCACAATTGAAGGAAACCCTTCTCTCGATGAAGTAACGCAGATCGTTCAGCGACTCTCATAAGTTACGTTTGTTGTGTCTGCTTCCAGTCTGGTATCTTGTTCTTAGCGTAGTTATGGTTCACCTAACTATGTGCTGCCAACCAGCCCATAATATTTTTGCTCATCTTTATCATTTTTTGCCTCTCCTTACCGCTACCGGAAAAAATTATATGAGTGTACTTTTTTTCAATGGGACTCAAATCGAACATTTAAAATGTGTACGTTGAAAACGTGATCCCGCAAAGTAACATTTGTTGAGGTAATATTACCGACAAATTGTCAAAACCTTGCTTATGCGTTCTTCTCCTCATCAAGGTACAATGATTACACCAACGACCCCTTCTCACGGTGCAACTGCACTCCGCCGTACAACCCAGTGTACGCCATAGCATCCCGCTACGACCTGCTTGACCCGAAAGGAAAGTACGACATTCCCAGAATGTACCGGCGACCTGTCGGTGGCATCGATATGAAGGTAATCACGCCTTTGTTCTCCATGTTTATGGATCAATCAAGTTTCACTCTTTAATTTAAAGGCCTTCATCGTACACTACTGCAAACGTGTGATCACATGCAAAATTTCTCGTGGGCTAGAAAAGGTTGTGAAAATGTCCAGAGGGCTGATCACGTAGAAAATGTGCTTTCCAAAGCAAGCGCACCAGCGCTTGTCTTCGGGTGGGTGGGTTCACGCCACCTTCAAAACGTACAAGCGTTCAGTCTGTATCCGGAGCGTGCAACAAAAAATGCGCCAAAGTTTGAGAGTCTCGTCCCGCAGTTCAGCGGTCACTTGAGCTTCAAGTTGTTGTTTTCTCTCGACGTTTCGACTCTGTGGTTTTAGCGTGCAGCTCATACGCGCTCGTACCAGCGTCGAATGCTGTTGCCATTGGCAGCGACCGTAGTCAAAACACACACACAAAAAATCAAACAGAAAGTATCAATAATCAATTTGGATTCTCGGTCCGTCTTCGTGGCCACATCTAAGTATTCTACAACAGAGCTACGGTGCTGGAAAGTCACTTCCAAGGAGAGAGAAAGATGGTGCTTATACGCACAACCCTGCTAGGCGTGAGGACGTGGCGTCTCGGGGACTGCTGCTGGTCAATGTTCGAAGGCCGACAGCAGTTGCTGAGCCTGAAACTGCCACAAGAAGCTGTAGCGCAGCTGCGAGGAGCCTCACTCGAGCGTGACCGAGGTCGACGGCCACGCCACAGAGTGCCAGAGTCACGGCCTCCGGGACCGAACATCCGCTGCTTCCCGTCGACAGAACGTAGCTGCCGATGTATCCTTCTTTTCCTGTAGCCTCGCAAGAAATGCCGAATCATCAGAGTCGCCCTACTAAAACCAGGTGTCACACAATGCCATTTTGCACAACATTTATATTGTTTGAAAGTTTGCGCCGACTGCAAAGTGCTAGGCCATAACGCTTCATTTTGATCAGCCAGACGCATGATTCACAAAGCATACGTAGTATATATCGTTGAGATGTGTTGGGGTACATTGCTTATCCTTGGGAAGACGAATAATGGCGTGCTTCCATACTTCACAAAGAGTTTGATTCATAGCCTTGAGGCTACCATGCGCCTGTACTTTTATACATTGTTGACACCAAGATAGTTTGGAATGGGCTCTACAAAGGCACCTGTTTGAGCCTTCGTGGGACCCAGCCGCGCGTTCCGCCCAGGCCTGCCGTTTGAGAGCGCAGCTGTCAGGAAGCCCGTTCTTGCTCTGAGTGGCGTTTTCATTGGCGCTCGCGTAACCCTAAAGTTTTCTACAAAATTTACTGGAAAGATCTCTAGCACTGTGATCATTCAGGCACGATGAGAATGATGGATAACGCATGGGTTCGCCTAGCCTTGTGTTTATGGGCGGTGTTTATAGTTGCCTTCTTGTTTGGTTTCGAATAAAACAATGAACCATCGTGACCTTCGCGAACCGAATTTAACTGATGAGCCTGAAAAAGCCAAGGTGGTAAAGTGCAAGTGCGTTACGTTTGCTCAATTTCGTTTCGCGACAAAGCGTGTTCACGCCACATGCAGCTAAACGAAGGCTAAAGAAACGACCCGTGCACTGTGCCCGCTGTCGCTAGCTCCATAGGTATCTTAAGAGTACTTTTGAGAAACCTTATGAGTGTAACCGATGGGGGAATCAAGGACAAAAGCGGGTGAACGCGAAGTCGGTCGATATCATGAACCACTGGCCCTTAACCACGCTTTCTTCCTCCGTCACGCGCCCTGTGTTTTCGGTCGGAGCTTGAGCAGATGCTGTGCTGGCACGTGTACGGCGCATGGTTCACTTGTTGCAAGGAAGCTGTTGCTGATTCACTTTGCTCGCGACGCCTGCAATGCACAAAGTGGTGGGCGTAGTCCTCCTGCGCTGACAGTTTCTGCAAAATTGTGTGACGAATGTCACATTTTTACGACAGCGGAGAGCCAAACCATCAAACACTGTTCGGTGTGGCCTGGACACGAAGGCGCACTTAGAATTCACCATAGGAGGTATCGTAATAGTTAATGATTCTTTCTTTCCTTGATACGTTCCTTACAGGGGGACGAGCTTTTTAACTTAAAGTAGATCACTTTATATAGAAAATTCTGGGCTTGTGCAGCTCCTACTGCAACAAGTGGAGTGATTGATCGCTGCTAGACATCGAGTCAAGAAGTTCCAAAGCGCACAGCTACAAAAACAAAGCTCGGGCTTCGGAGGAGGAAGTATAACGCTGTCGGCGTTTATGATGCAGTTTTGATTCATCTTGCATGACTACAATCGAAATTGCCCACTTATTCATATATCTTCATCATGGTCATGTCGTATGATCATCATCATGTGTGTGCCTGCTCCATGGCGAGTCCCTAGATCTATTAGGAGATTTCAGAACTTAGATTTTCTATGGTATAGACTGCAAGGAAGGTTCTTCCAGTTGTGCAATTAACTGTGAAATAGTATGATATGATACACACAAAAAGGTCATGTTTTTTACACAGGCATGCTAAAAAATTGATTTATTCTGACTCCATCATTCATTTTCGTACAATGTGGAGGCACACTTCCGACTCACTGAAAAACGATGATATTAGAAGTGTGGCAGTTTGGGCCAGCTGGTATGACATGACGATAGCTATAGTGCGAGAACAGAACGACGACAAAACTTTTTTTTTATTCGAACACTGTTAAAGACCACAAGGGCATGCATGAGCCATGTTATGGCAAGCAATATAGAATAGGCCCTAGCAATTAGAACTCACCCCAGTTTTCTGTTTACATTTCAGTTTACGACGTATGACAAGTTCAAAAGTTTGCAGTTCGTCGCAATCAGTGGGCCTACCGATTACTCGCTGCCTGCTTTTAAGTGGAGCACAAGTGGTTTCAACGACAGCCACGTCGGGCATCCGGATCGGTGGCAATTCGGTCCCGTGGAGAATGTCTGGGGATCCTGCACGTAGTGTGGTCGTACTAATCAAAATAAATAAACAGTCGATATCTCTGATGACTAGGAAAACGTTCCTAGTGTTCGCAGCGATTACCAGCTGTCATGACTCTGTCTGAATCCGTCTGCCCTACATAGACACGGCCTCAGAATTCCGCTTTCCTGTGGCCGTGTCTTGGTAGGTCAGACCGGTCGCTGTATCAATGTGTGTCTGAGTGGGCATCGCAATAAGGAGCGCAAAGAAACGAATGGAGATCTCACGCGTCGCTGTCGAGATTGTGGGTGCGAACTTTTTTTCAACAACACCATGGGGTTATATCGAGACTCGGAAATTAACTCTAGAATAATTATTGAGATCACTGAGATGAAGAAGAGTTATTTAGTTGTGGTTATTACTCCTTAGATTCCCTTGACAAGCAAGGAACTGCACATTTTGAAGTGTGTGCATGAAATAGTCACAAGATGTGCGCCTTGGAACTCGTGCAAACGCTCTCGGTGTGATGTCTTAGACCCGTGCCGACGCATACGCTCTGGGCACGTGTTGGCACGATTGAACTCTGCAGAGTGATAGCGTGATCTTTTTCAATTGTTCTTTTATTCTTGCCTTGTTTTCACACTTTTTCTGGAGGCTACAATAATTTATTTGGTGTTCTCTTCCAATAATGTTTTAGTAGAAATTAGCGCTTGTGTTTGTCCTTCGTTCGTCTTACGTACGTGCCTTTAGCGCCTACACTAGTTATGGATCCATACCAATTATAGGCCGAACCCCATGCCTTTCAGTTGCATCTTGCCTGTCACCTCCAATAGCCCTTAACGAATGCAACTTTGTGAGTTTATAGTATTACGATACACACCACAAAAAACTACCGCTCCACGTAGCCGCCGAAGAGCCAGAGATCTGAGAATCTAATTTTTATTAAGACGAAAACTTCAGATGTCTCATCAAACGTGAAGTTTTCTGGCATTTGTAGCGTTCAAACAATAGAAGTGATGAAAAATGTCCTCATCACGAAACAGCGTCACAGCACATGCCTTCACACGTTTATATAACCCCATGACATCGCCGCCCGGTTCGACGTGCGCGGATCACAGAGGCATTGCGAAACCAGCTGAACTGCAGAAAGGTTCCCACAGCTTCAATTGAAGCAGTGCAAATCACTTTGAGTGAAAAACATGGTTGATTCCTCCATCATGGGAATCAGTAAAACACGGAAGTAAACCTTACAGAAATAGTTGAATCTTTGCGGTGCATTGAAAAGATCTTGCACATTGTCTAAAATAGTTTGGCAGCTATAGCACCATTCAGCGTGAATGCGCTCGAGTTGACCCTCAGTGATACGTCTCCATCCCGGTAACTGACGTGCATGATCAAGGAATAATTAACCCCGTGTGGTAGCTGCAGTATAGGTAAATGTGGGAATGTAGTCTGAGAATGTGGTGCAACAGCCAGAGGATTCTCGCTGCTTGGACGCAGAATTTGAGCTAAGGTAGCCAATAAACGATATGTTAATGTGTTGTTGAACGCCACAGCGAGATTTGAATGAAACGACAAGCCGTGATTTTTCCCATTGTGGAGATCATTCTTACAACCATGTGAGATGGGCATGCGTGGCAGAGTTCCACTTAGATAGACTAGCGCACGCCAGCTGAGTGAAGCTCTGCGACTTCACCTATCGAAACTTCGCTGAATGGGACGTACTGTAGCATTGACGGGTAGCATGACCTAATCGCAAAAATCACGGTCATGATGCATAACTTCGCCTATTCCAGGCACAGGCCACACTTGCCTAACAAGAACAATGGGAGAGGAAAGTGGTGGTTGGGTAAGAAAGTTGTACCCCACACACCCGCCACTTATTAGTCCCGAGAACTGACACTGGCGTCACTGTGGTCATTGCGACATGACGCCATGGCAAGGACTCACCTTCTCCGCCGCCGCTTGTCCCCTTTTTCTGCGTCCCCACGTACCCGCACCTAAGCGATACGTTAGTGATTACTCCTCAATTGTGTGACGCAAATGTCTTCAGATACAGAGTGAAAGGTTTCATAACCAGTGAAAGTAATCGAGGCTGTAAAAAGTTCGCATATTTAGCTTAGGATAAACAGACTCCGGTCCAAATGGCATATTTACTGTGAAAATTGTTGTTTATGTTACGTACACTATGAAATCGGTGCTGCAGGAAAGTATGCTAATTGTTGCTAACGTGATTACAACTAGCCATAGACTCCGAGTCAGGAACATATGTTTTCCGAAATATCACAAATGATATCAGGATGTGTCTAATTACCTAAATACATTGCGGAATACCGTGAAAGTTGCGCCTGCATCTGCAAATGATTGACATATTTGAAAGAATTGAGCTTTCTCTTACATGAATCTGGATGTCATAAGACCAAGCTTCACATATTTGGATTGAAAAACAAAATTTTACGGCCATCCAGAACGTTCGCGGAAAGGTTTTTCATATATGTCTATTTTCTAGGATAATATATATACATGTTTCATCTGCAAAGTTGCCAGGGATTGTGTAGCCGTATACCCTGATTTGCGTCAAATGCTGCGGTGATCCAGCACTGCGTCACAAGCAGGAATGTTCGCTTCACATGGGCACACCACTCATAGCAACCGATTTCAACACAAACGCCTGGAAGTTGAAATGAACATTATCAATGGCGCAGTCAGCGACGTGGCCCAAGTAATATTTAAACAACCATCACCTCGATGAGGCAACCACTGGTACCGTACGTCATGTCCATGTACGGGTAGTCAGCTGCAAGAAAAATAATTCAAGAGCTGGCTATCTGAACTGGTAGTATGAGTGGGACAGCACCATTGCCAAGATTCTGCACGAAGATAGAACCTGACAGAAATGAGAATTTCTGCATATGACCTAATAATTCCGGTGGAATGAAGCTACAAAATTATTGCGAGAGCGAAATGAAATTGAACAACGTGTTGAGTGAACGAATACACGAAAAAAACAGACGCAACAGCTGCAGCTGTGGTATTTTAGGGCGAGTGCACACGATGTATTTTGCACGAATCGATAATGCAAGCGAGCGCGGCTCTTGCCAAACCAGCGTATGCAATGTCCATACATACGTGTATTCCTTCAATACAAATAACCCAACAGGAGAATAAACCTTCATATCTTTCACAGGAATCACCCATAAGCAGCTCAACCTAACAATGTAAATATGGTGTCTTGCTTCTCAAAGTTACATTATTATGCGCCAATGAGTGTTGTATCCAATCAGAAGCGTGCTTTTGCTTTTCACACCGGTCAGATCGTGACTGCTGGGGCCAGGAATGTAATCCTTTGTCTTGGTTAGCAGCGCGACACAGACCTTTTCACCCCTTTTGCATTGCCTAATCGAGCGCGTGATTGTGCAGAAGCAAAAGCAAACATTTCTTGTCTTACCAGGAACATTACCGATCTTGTTTTCGATGTTAATGCAGTCGGGCGAGGCAAAGGCATGACGTCTGACAAACGGTCATGATGATTAGAACAGTTGGTATGCGCAGATGAAGGCGACAATGAACGTAGTCAGTCCTTACAGTTGTTATAAAAGGCGCGTTTGGAAAGCCTCCAAAGAGTGTAGTTGTGGTGCAGTCGATAACGTACCTGACATCTGTTGTTGCGAGCCGAGAGGTCGCGTGTTCCACTACCGTTGGCGGAACTTTCTTTCTTTCTTTGCCGATTGTTCCCTCCAAAGCCCGAAGACCAACGTAGAATCGTAGCAAACCCCTTATTGCTACATCGTGTCACCCGAATGATGGTGCAAAAGTAAATGAAAAAGAGTGAGCGAAGTGCAGTAGAAATGTGCCAGCTTTCTACTGATCGCAGTCAGGTCGCGTGGTTACTGGGCAGCTTGGCTGGCCGCTTTTATCTACAACACGTGGCGCTACCGCATACATTACATTTCCTCCCGCTTAAATTGTGGGGAGCTACAGTTACTAAGATGGCGTGTAGCAGTCTGACGCTCGTCGATTGCCTACGGGATATCTGCGCACTGGTAGTGCTTCCAAGGAGGCCGCGGGCACTGCCGTAGGCGTCTACGCAGTAGCATCTGAGAACTCCCAGAAGGTGTCCTTGTTCTCCTCAAATTTGGAGATGTCCCCCTAGAGAAACTGATCTTGGTGACGATGCCAGACGGGCAGGCGCCATGGGGTGTGTACCTTGACGGCATACGAAACTGGACTGTTTTGCCGTGCACAGTACCCGGAAGCCATCTGAGTGGTCACCTGTAATTTCGAACCAGAACACAGTCGCCTACCGCAAACTGACGAGCTTTGAAACTGCATTGGCTGGACTGAATAAATTACACGTGGCGAACTAACTTCTCTGATTCTGGCTTGAGAATTTCCAGTTTGGAACGAAGATGGCGACCTTACATAAGGTTAGCTAGCGCTTCTTTCGTCGTAGCATGGGGTGTATTCCGGTATGCCAGCAAGAAGCTGTCAAGGGTGGCCTGCAGACTTCCACTATTCAAATTTTTCTTCATGGCGGTCTTTAGGGACCAAACAAAACGTTCTGCCAAGCCATTCTAACTTGGGTGATAAGACGCTTGTGGCATGACGCGCTCCTATTTCTCGCAGAGCGTCATGAACTCATAATACCTAAACTCTGGGCCGTTGTCAGACACGAGTGTTGTGGAATAACCGAAGTGGCCAAACATTTAGCAAAGACGATCGATTGTTGCAGTGCTAGTTGTGTTTTTCATGATGCACACCTCTGGCGATTTAAAATGCGCATCCACCACAACTAAAACATTTGATGCCGGAAGGGATCAACAATCGATTGCACTCGTTTCAGGGGGGATGTTGGCCATGGCTATGGGGGCTGAGGAAATGCGCTGCTGCTGCAAGGTTTGCATTCTTTGACGTGGGACTCAACATAACCACGTCAATGGAAGGTCACCAAACATAGCTGTTTGGATCGCGTGATACTTTGATGACTATCGTGAAGTTCTTGTAGAACCAGAGACCTCAGCTTTGCCGGTGCAAATATACGCATTCCTCACAGGAGGCCGCCTTGGCGTGTGGTAAGCTGTTTCCGCCTGTCGAAGAAAGGGTTGAGGTCCGCATCATCCGTAAATTTAGGCCAACCCGTACTTGTGAGCGCGAGTACTCTGCGAAAGAGTCGGTCTTGCGAGGTTGCACGTGCAATGTCTTTGTGCGTCACCGGCATTGATTGTAAGCGTAATGAGTAGAACATTTCCTCTGTATTATTAGAGGAGTCGTGATGAACTTGCAAGCACGACCAGTAGTTAGCCTCTAGATTTTAATGTGTCGGTCTAAACTTCAATGTGTACGTGTAGGCAGATAAAGCCAGTGCCTAACGTAAAAGTCTTGCTGCTGCCAAGGTTGGTGTGCCAGACTTTGGGCCCAGAATAGTCTGCAGTGGTTTGTGATACATTATCATAGTGAATGGGCACCCGTAAATATAGCAGTGAAACTTTTTAGCGGCGAATATGATTGCTAACACTTCTTTCTCGATCTGGCTACACTTCTGCTCAGCATTGGACAGAGTCCTTGAACAGTGTGCAACAGGGCGGACGGTGCCATCAGCAAAAATATGACAAATCACAGCGCCTGCCCCGTAATGAGATACATCGCAAGCTATTCGGAGTGGTCTTTGCGGATCAAAGTGATCCAGAACCTCCGTGGACACCAAAGTAGCCTTAAATGTCGTCAAAGGCCGTTTGACATTCCGTTTGGTCCAGGCCCAAACTTGGTCGTCACGTAGCAGTTTGTACGGGGGGTGGGCCATTGTAGCCAGCTGAGGTAGAAATTTTCCGCGGTAGTTTACAGCTTCGAGCAAGGAACAAAGTTGTTGCTTGTTCTCTGGTGCTGGCGCGACCACAATCGCATCAACGTTGTCCGTCGTTTGCCATATGCACTCAACTTGCGCACCAAGTATAGGTCAATTCCTTATAAAAAAACAGGGCATTTCCGAGCTCTTAGTTGAACTCTACGGCTTTTCAAACAAGTTAGAACTACTTCCAAGTTCTGTAGGTGTTCGGCTGCAGTCCTTCCGGTCACGAGGATATCGTCCGAATAGCATGCAACACCTTTGAGATCTTCAAGCATAGTGTCCATTATTAGCTGAAAAATACCAGCTGCCGAAGACATGCCGAAAGGTAGCCGGTTTATGGCGGGCAGTGCTTTCGTAGTGTTTATTGCCAGAAGACGACGCACCAGTTTTGCTAGCACTACCTGTTGGTAGGCCCAGTTCAAGTCAATTTAGTGACTTTTCTTCCTCCCCTGCGTGCAGGGAAAATTTTTTTAACTTGTGGTAAAGGATAGCGATCAGTGTCTAGCATAGGGTTAACAGTAGTGTTGTAGTCGCCACACAGGCGGATGTTTCCGTCTTTCTTTACCACAGGCAATACCAGAGTCGCATACTCCAAATGGGTAATGGTGTGATCGCAACCAGTGACTGTGTTTTTTCAAGCTCTTTTTTAACTGCTAGGACCAGTGTGAAAGGCACACTACGCGCTTTCAAAAATTGTGGACGATTGTTCGTTTTGAGAAAGGGTTCGGCCTTCTTTTCAATGACACATCCCAATTCTTCTTTAAAAAAGGTTACTGTACTTTTGCAAAAGCTTGCTCACCTCTACTTTTGCTACCTTATTGGTCGACTCCCGTGCCGAGCAAAGCTTGTTGCAGGAAAATACAGCGTTCAAGTCGAGCCGCATTTGCTGTAGCCATTATCGGCAGAGAAGTGGCCGTCCGCCCTTCTCAGTTCAATACAAGAGTATTGGAACACTTCGGCCATTTCAACAACTTCAACCACTCTTCCTGGTTCGACTAATGCACCTGTGTAAGTGCGTAGACGCAATTTTGTCGTGCTCAACTTCAGAGGGGGAACAATTGTTGTTGTTGTCTGCGAGAAATTACGGACAGCGCTGCTTCAGTATCCCATTTCATTTCAAGTGGAGTGTTGTTTACCAGTAGGCGTACAGTTATGGCATATTTAGCCGAGCACGTCATGCCAATTAGAATCACTTCTGTGGCACATTCGAGCCCTTTCATGCTGCGTGCTCACGCGTGAGATAACTTTGCGCTGTTATCAGGCTGACATATACGCTGATTATGCCCTTTCTTGCCACAGCCGAAACACGTCGCGTACGCATGTCTCCTGTTCTCGCTCACGTGCTTACAAGAGCCGCACCGCGAAACATGTTTGACGCTTTCGTCTCGCTGGCTTCTTTCACTGCAACTGCTTTCTGCCTGGCTTTTGGGCAATTACATGGTGTACGTCGAATACGCTCGTTAAACCATAAACTTTTTCTGCACTTTTTGTTGCTGAATCTATTCGTAAAGCTTTCCAACTGCCTTTTGAAATGTTCACCTATTGTCCTCAGCAAATAGCAGGTGCTGAATATCTTATCTTTGTAACCCACAAAAGAATCTGCCCTCAGTGCCTCATCTAAAAAATTACTGAACTCACACGAACTCAAAAGGCAACGCGGTTTCGCGACGAAATCGGCAATAGATTCATTCTCGCGCTGAGGCTGTCGATGAAACTTGGCTCTCTCCCTAATCACTGAATGCTTCGGTGCAAAATGGTCACCAAGCAATTTCTTGAAGGTGTCAGACGACTTGCTTGATGGAAGGTCAGGGGTGGCAAGTGACTCGAGTAGGGCGTAAGTCTTCATGCCTATTACGCTCAAAAACGCGTGAACCTTGTCTGCCTCCGGTACTTTGTTGAAGTGAAGAAACGACGTCAACCGCTCGTCGTATGAAGTCCAGTCGCTTGAGGAGTCGTCAAAAGGCTCCATGTGGCCAATTCTTCTCACTACTTGCGTCACTGGCTCTGCCATCCTTTTCATTCCGGGGGCTAGCTGTGTGGCAGCGTCAGCCCCAGGAATTTCCGACAGGGAAGAGCCTTTCCTCGTTGTGCCGACGCCGCTGCAGGTTCGAAGCACCTCGTCACCAGATGTTACGTCCAAAGCCCGGAGACCAACGTAGATTTGTAGCAAATTCTTTATTGATACATCGTGTCGCCCGTACGACAGTGCAAAAGCAAGTGAAAAAGGGTTAGCGTGGTGCAGCCTAGACATGCCAGCTTTATACCGATCGCAGTCGGCTCACGTGGTTACTGGGCAGCTGGCTGCTCTTATCTATAACACATGGTGCTATCGCATACACTAAAAATGGACGCTGATTGTGTCCATTTTTCAACGTCATTACCGGGACGGAAATAGATTACTCAAGTCTTGACACACCATGGCATAATATGCTTTTGTGTTAAGGTCGGGATGATTTCACAAATATACTTGTAGTAGTCGCGAAGCGATCGCGTTTACATGTGAAAAATAGCTTCTTAGGAGAGTCAAACAACGACCGCACGCCACAATATCCCCATTTACAAAGTGATTTAGAAAGGCCACTCTTCCAGCTTCTTCTGTGATATCTGTATATTTCCAGTCAACCGGGCGTATTCTAAAAGTCTTTCTAAATACGGAAAAAGCAGGATACAGTAAAAAGAAACGACTGCCATTCGTTCCTTGTGCCACTAAGCCCAAAATAGATTGTTGTATAGGTGAGCCATCTGTCGCATCGCTTGATCCCGTGTTAAGATTTTTTCACAACCGCCTGCGATGTGTAGGTGTGTTGTTATTTCGCTTGAGCATGAGTTACATATGATGCACATATCGAACCCTTCTTATAGGCATCATCATCATCAGCCTGACTACGTACACTGCCAGACAAAGGCCTCTCTCAAGTTCCGCCAGTTAACCTGGTCCTGTGCTTGCTGATGCCAATTTATACCCACAAACTTCTTAATCTCATCTGCCCACCTAACCTTCTGTCTCCCCCTAACTAGTTTGCCTTCTCTGGGAATCCGGTTAGATACCCTTATTGACCAGCGGTTATCCTGTCTGCGCGCTACATGCCCGGTCCATGTCCATTTCCTCTTCTTGATCTCAACTACGATATCCTTAACCTCCCATTTGTTGCCTAATCCACTTTGCTCTCTTCTTGTCTCTTAAGGTTACACCTAGCATTTGCGAACTCATGATTACAGAATTAGACAAGAAGAACAAGAAGGTGGGTCTCAAAACTGATCTGCAGAAAATGATAGTAATGTACAACAAACTCGGAAGAGAGCAGCGCTTCTAGATAGGTAATAGTGCACTTCAAGTTGTAAAAGACTATGTCTGCTTAGGGCAGGTAATAACCGCGGAGCCATACCAGGAGATTAAAGTAGCTAGAAGAATAAGAATGGGGTGAAGCCCGTTCGGCAAGCACTCTTGAATCATGACTGACACATTGCCACTATTCCTCAAGGGGAACAGCGGTATATAACAGCTGTATCTTGCCGCTACTTAGCTACAGAGCTGAAACCTTAAGACTTACAAAGAGGGTTCAGCTTAAATTAAGGATGATGTAGTGATCAAACTAAAGAAAAATGGTGGGTGTAACTTATAGGCATTGAGCAGTTGAAAATAGCGGTTGTCATCGCCAGGATTTTTGTGTTGCTTGTCGTGTTTTTCGTAGTGTTAATATGTCTCAACCGTGCACGTACACCTCGCAAAAAACAAACGAAATTGACGGGTGTAGTCCAAGTTTTTCAGGTATTTATTATGGTGGAGATGCGGCCCGTCTTCCAGTTTTCTAAGAGCAAAAATACGGCTGGTGTTCACAAAATGCGCTTCCAGGGACTATCCTGGGTGGTGGCAAGCCTATACTTCGACTTGAATTCGCCTTCTTCGAGAACACTCAGGAGGGTTGTTGGCACGTTAGTCATCAGGCCATCAATATTGCGCCTGAAAAATGTAAATGTAAGGGAGGTTTCAATAAAATGAACAACTCATAATATAGCTTCACTAAATCAGTCATTAGCCTCTGTAAGTGGTGTTATTACACCAGGCTATTCAACAGCACATCAATTTTGTGTCGAACGGAAAATTCTGTTCTGTCAAAAACACAATGCGCTCTATTCTCTCATTGCAATATATTGAAAAAAAATGTGGTCAATTCCTCTAATAAAGGTATTGGTACACTCTAAGAAAGTGAAACGTGGCTTGACAGAAATAGTTAGGCGGCGGTACTGCCGTGACAAACGAAGAGCGCGAATGGATACCGAAAGGCTGGGAGATACATATGGCGCGTTCAAATACCGAGTTTGAAATGCACCAATAGCTCTGTTAACTAAGCGCGCGCATCTTGTCGCCGCTAATCTAAGGGTGGTGGGTTCAATTTCTAGATCTCAGACACTTTGAATTCTTTTTCTTCTAGTAGATGTCTTTACATGCTGGTTCTGTATCATTTAACAACGTCATATTCGTGACGAATATACGTCAGTAAAGTCTTGGTGGACCCCGGCATCAAAACAGTGTTGAAATATTGATGGCAACAGAGTGCCGAGCACTCCAAATTAAGTCTTGCGTTGATGAGAATTTGTTCAAAAACTTTTATTAGCTTCATCGGTAATTTGGTGAAAATCAAGTAGACTATAGGCTACAGGTCATTCTAGATTGGTTAACATGCCTGCCTTTCTTTTCCTTCCTGTTTCGGCCTTCCTTCAGGTAGTGTCTTTCAGCCACAAATTATTTAATACCAATAAAATGAATCAATATAATTTGTTAGTGTTTAACGTCCCAAAACTACCATATGATTATGAGAGATGCCGTAGTGGAGGGCTCCTGAAATATCAACCATCTGGGGTTGGAACGTGTAACAAAATCCAAGCACATGAACTTCAATCATTTTCGCCTCCGTCGAAAATGCAGTCACAGCGGCCGGGATTCGATTCCACGACTTCGGGTTAGTAGCCGAGTGCCTTCGGCATTAAACCACCATGGCGAGTCAAAAGGAACACATAAAAAAACATTTTGTGGTCCGCATAAAACAATTTGTAGTGCCGCTTCTACAAACTTGTTTACCGGGGTCTGTCGTGTTTTGTTTTGTTTCTTCCTTTCAAAGGTGTCTTGCGTGACACAGCTTTGCAAGGAACTCTCCTCTCCAAAATATGCGTCCCTGAAAACCGTGAATAGTGCGTACCTCAGAAATCGACGCATTGTCTTTCCATTGTCGACAGCCCACACGTACGCCTTGTCCACGTAGTCAGCCGTCGTGTTCGCTTCCGTTCGACGTGACGTCACTGCTTTCGTGCGCGCTTCCCCGTAAACGTCGATGAAGCAGTTATTGGCGCCATCGCCCTGCCAGCGATGTCCATGGATGCCCAGCTCTTCGTATGTATCGGCGATGATGCTAAGCAACTCGTATCCACTGATGTCGAAGCCTGTGGAGAAAGTGTTTCGAGGGCTTGTCTATGCGCGATCTATTGCAAAAGATGATTCGTAGTGGAGAAAGCAACATGCAGTGAGATCGCAAACAGAACATCTGCAACCATTTCCTTAAGGCATAAGCGAATGTTCACCGAGTTGTTCGGACTCAAATCTCAGCTAAGTTAGAAGTATCTGCACAGAAAACAAAATTGTAGCATTTGAACTTTAATAACAACAATCGCAAAATGAAAAAACCATTTCACAAAGCTTTCCTTAGTCTGTTATGTACTTTCCTGAAAGTAAGATTTTTTCCCTCAAATAGTTATGACATCAACAAGTGCTTCCTCCCCAACACCGCCCCACCCATATAATAAAAGAAATGCTGTGCAGGCCTTCTTCAGGCCTTCCTGCATTATATCTGAAACTACAAAAAAATGCAAAGCAATTTAATCTTGATAGCAATAACTCAACCAAAAAATTGACATTCACAGCAAGTCGCCTACCCCTTTGCATGACATTGAGTGCAAGATTGAATGGGATCTGCTTATTTTTTTTCGCTTTCAGAGATACCTTTTAGATGCGAAGTGTCTTATGTTTGAGCTCAAAACGGTGTGCGGTGTGACCGACCTTAAATGCACATGTGCTTCCCCTCTTCTCTTTCACCTCGATGGGCCGAAGCAGGCAGCGTCTGCTTCCCTATGCTCGCGTCCCCCTCTTCTGTCCTCTGTCAGCCTTCCGTGCGTCGTTTGGACCCCCCCTCTTGAATGCACGCTCGTTCCCTCTCTTTCCCCACTCCCTCCTTCTCTCTCGGCTCCCAACGCCGACGCAGCAAGGCAGCGTCTGCTAGTGAGTTTCTTGATTGAAAAAACCGACTGCTCACGCTGCACAACCCTTCACTGGCCACACCTTATGTATAGGTCATGACCTCTGAGACGGTGGGCACGTGGCTGGTTTCTCTCCGTCCGTCCCAATCACATGAAGAGAGCGTGCTTCCAGAGATGGGCGTCACCCGCTCTTTTCTCCGCACCGCGACGCTCCTTCGTAAGGTCGAAAGGCTGCCGTGCTGTTCGCGAAGGTTGCATGTGACGAGAAAAATGATTTTGCGTTTGTGTATAAGTTTGCATTCATTTGGAAATGTCGGACCAAGGTGTACTATAGGCAAAGTCAATGCTTGGGCGTATATATTCTCAAATAGGCTTTTCTGCTGTATATTTGCGCTGCACTTAAACATGCGATGCCTCTTCTAGAGATCCGCATCCACTGTAAACTTCATATTTTTTGGAGTTGGCGGGTTGTATACTATAAAATGCACTGGTGAAGAAGAATAAAAATGACAGCTTGAACCACAAGCGAAGTAAGTGCCGCGTTCTTCCCTTACGGTTTAAACTTGACAGATTGAATTGTTCACTTTTTCTTTTCAATAAATTAACCGTACTTTTCAGTGTAACTCAACATGCAGAATTCTCGCACACTTGCTAATTTATTCACAGCAGTGCAGTGGTCACAGTGCGATCGGTCGCCCATCGTGCTCTTACTTGTGCGGTGTTTAGTGGTTATGTCGGGCAATGTAAGAACGAAAATTGGTATCTTTTGCTTGTTCAAAAATAACGCAACACGCGTTCAGAGTCTGGTGTATCTGGAGCTGCATGAGCGATCCTTTAATTTGGATGTAGTCGAGAGTAAACGAACTCGATACTGATGCCGGTGGGCCGCCAAAACATAATCAAAATACATATGACGAAAAAGGGGACGATGACAACTCCGGCACCTGCTCTGTGAAAGACGTGGGAGTTAAATGTAGATCGGCTTATCAAGCCATACGCAATTGTGTGTTAAATTTACTCGTCACTTTATTTCAAAGATTTGACCAGGCGACTCATTTATTTAGAACGTGACTGAGCTTGAGTTAACCACATCATAAAAATCATGAACCACCTCTCCGAAAGGTAGCCTAATGGGATATGAAGCAGCAGCGGTGCTCACGGCCTTGACCCAGTTCAAAGTGGCGTAAACGCGAGTGCCGGAAAAAACGCTCTGAAGCGAAGCTAAGTATAGCGTGTACTCGAGTGAACGCTTGTTTGAAACACAAGGACTCGGGAGGCGGGTTGGGTTTCCTTTAAGTTTGATCGCAGATAAACGAGCCGATTGAGTTCCACTCGACATGCAGTTGAGCGTTGTGGGTGGTGGAGAGGGTGAAGCGTGGTCTTAATGTGTTGCAAGCGGGTTCAAGAGCCGGCAGCCGCTGTGGGTTAGGGAGAGAGCGACGTCAATGCGCAGCTGCGAGTTGACCTACTTGGAACCGCTGCAACACCTGTGGCGAGGGGTTCTTACATACGTACGAGACAGCGTTAGACAGGTTAGTTAAAGAGCTGCTTCGCATCTAATATCCACGCGCGATGAAATACTGAAACCATGGGTCACAGTAAGAAGGCAATATAGTTAACCGACGATAATAACCCCAGTTTTCCCCAATGCACGTTTTCAGGAAGGAAGAGTGCCAGAATGCCTCTATATTTCTCAAATCGAGGTATTTAGTGCCGAGATAAAACAGACCACGAATTCGTGTGCTGTCACGACGGTAGAGTTTGTTTACGTTTACGCTGGCTGTCCCAGCGTTCGATTTGGCGATCTTCGGGCTGCTTCGGGTTGTCTCGGGTTCCCCACACACGTGACCACGACGTTATTTCCTGTCCAGACCGGATCTAGCTGACTAACCTCTGGCTAGCTCTGGCTGCCAGAGAGCTGCCAGAGGCCTGAAAATCGAAGAACCCCCCTTGTTCGTTTTGCTGGGGAGCACTATAATTGGGATGGCTGGAAAGAAAGACGCCGCACGCTCGCCAAATCGGAGGCAATGTGTAGCCACAGAATTTCGACCTCCTAAGTAGTGCTGGTGGGAGAATTGTCCTGTGCGTTTTCGAACAATAAAGATATGCAGCGTGCCCGTTAACTAAAAGCAGACTGCGCGTCTCTGCATCCAATTGGAGTCTTCTGTCTCTCATTGGCCATTAGCAGTTATCGGCATGTTCCGGCAGGAAACGTCGATCCATCACTGTGTTCCTCGCGCCTCCTCAGTTTCTCTCCGGCGCAACGTCGCAATGAGTGGCGGTGACAATGCCATCGACAATAAAGAGTTTGAAAATTGGAGCCCCAAGGAGCTTGGGGATCCAAGAAGCTTGCGACGTGCCAGGCCGCATGCGCAGAACCCAAGCTAATCTTGGGCTCTTGCATCGTGGTGACCCATGGCCCAAAAATAAAAAAAAAACTGGAGGGGGCTCCCAAGGCATCTTGGGTTGTTTACGAGACGAAGCAGACACAGTGAGAACCACGGTGGCATATGGCCCGCATCTCGCATAAATTTTGATATGGCCACATGTGGCGCCCCATGCGTTTGACCCAACGCAATCTGCGTTTGACTCAGTTCTCAAACTCTGCTGATCCTCCGAACGCAAGAGCAACCGACGCAACTCAGCTTGGGGACCCAGTGTCTTGGGCCTCCAATTCTCAAACCCTAATGTATATGCATTAGTGCCCGCGCTGCTAGCATCCTGGAACGCCAGTGGGCGAAACCAGTGCCCCCACAGGTTTGACGAGAGTAGGTTGCTGCTCTGGGACGTCTAGTGTTTCGCTTAAATTCTCCTATTCCTTCCCCCTTTCTGCCTGATCCTAAAAAAAGTTTCTTTAGTCACTCACTTCTCTGGCCTTTGCGCTCTCGGTTAGCAGCTTGTAGAGCTCCAGCAGCAGAGAGATCAAACACTCTCAAAAGTGGTGTTCATGTGTATATAAGAAGAGCCAAGAAAAAGGCTAGTTTGGATTCTATAATACACACTCGTCCAGGGTCTATGTTAGTCACGAAGCAATGTCCACACGGGCTTTTCGAAGCCGTAAGCACGGACAGGGTCAGCGACGTTTTTCCAGTGCATGCCTTAGGTGTTGACACGGGGCCCTTTCGCGTTAGAAAGATGGCCCGTCACCACTCCACAAATATTCAAAACAATAACAATTCGTTTAAAAGTGTTTGGATGTACACCATGCTTTAGTCAGGGTTGGTGTCCTCCAGAACTTTCAGCCTTACCTACGTGGTCCAGGAAGAGCGAAGAACTTGAGGCCCGTCTCAAGGTATCCAGCGCCCCCGAGAGGATTTCCTTGTCCATCGTTGTAGACACGGACATGATCACGTTCAGCATGTGCTCGGACGGAATCGTGCCTTGAGAAAGCGACAAGGTATGTATGTACTTGAAAATGCAGTTTCGTCAAAGGAATATTGCAGACATGTTTCACTTGAAGAACTTGGTGCCTTGGTCATTGACGTATCAATAATTTCACGTCTGTTTAGCGCTTAGTTTTTATGCGTTGGGTTACCCCCACACAGACTGTTAGAGATGCTTTGTGTAGACCACACTACAATGCTTGTCAACTTATAGAGTGCTATTTATCATCCATTAAGATTACGTCCACAACGCGAATAGTTAGGCTTATTCAAGAGCCTCCGCGACCATCAGCAATGAGGCTTGAATATTTAATTTCATGTGTGTACGTCCCGTGGGAAGATCCACTCAAATAAAAAGTTTCGCCTCGTAGGCACCAAACCTTGTCTTCATCCAAGTCACATCCACTGGACAATTATTAGTGTATCAATGACAAGACGTCCTTCCACGATATCCATAATTGTGCTGCACTGTATGCTGTATTTCTATCTTTCTCATCGTGCCAATGTTTTCATAAGAATCAAAGGCAACTGCCATCATATAATGTATAGTGATACAGATGATTACTGATGTTTTTGACTGCCAGAATTAAAAGGAAAAATCAGTTACCGAGAAGATTAGAGTACAACATACTATCGTATTAGTGATGTCCTTGTCTACGAAACACCATGTGAATCATAGAGGACCGTCGGTTACGTTTCGCTGGAACATCAGTCATCTTTTCCACCACATCAACCGAATAAAAAAGTCTTGGAACACACACACACACACAGATATATATATATATATATATATATATATATATATATATATATATATATATATATATATATATATATATATATATATTACAAGAATATTACACATTAACTAACAGTATATTCATAGGCATATTATAAGCAGGCATTACGAAGCACAAAAAGTGGCAGTTCCGTTGCAACAATGAAGCAGTCAATGCGAAACCAACACATTGGTATAGTGAATGAATGGAGACAAGCAAGCGAATATTTTTCGAAACCTGACCTCTACAAGAAGTGATGTGGTCTAAATGGTAAGTTAGCTTCAATGCTAAGTTTTCGACAAGTGCATTGGTAAAAAGGTACCAGCCGTCAGCCTATTTCTGCCCAGATACCGCACACGCAAACGCTTGCGGCATGCCAAGTCTCTTTAAAGTACGCTCTTCTTGATGAAGTCACTCAGCCCACTTTCTTATGTGACATATCTGACTTTGTAGTGTCGCCCCGCCGTGGTGGTTCAGTGGCTAAGGCACTCGGATGGTTACCCGCAAGCCGCGAGATCGAATCGCGGCTGCACTTTCAACGGAGGCGAAAATGCTGTAGGCCCGTGTGCTCAAATATGGGTGCATGTGAAAAAAATTCAGGTGGTCGACATTTCCAGAGCCCTCCACTACATCGTCTCTCCTAATCATATGGTGGTTTTGGGGTGTTAAGGCCTACACATCAATCAAATTAATTAATAACTTTGTACTGATAAAAAAGGCCGGTTCAACCTCTTCTCTGCTCGAGCATCAATGACTATCCTGAATCGCACACTTTCACCAGCACATCGAACCTATGGCACGCGGGGAGATATTATTAAGACGTGAAACGGAACACCAAAGAGCCGTAAAAAAAATATGCCAGAAGGGCACAAATAGCCTCTTTTCCCAGATAACAACCCTCGTAAGTCTAAAAATGAAAAAAAAAACGTGACGACACACCATTATTCCAAAGATCAGCTATCAATTTATTCGCGAGGTTGATGCCAGCCTGGTATTTCACTCCAGGGGAAAGCCTCCAAGTTTTTGTGTTGATGTACAGAAGCTGCAGCTTGTCAGCAAACTTGCCACCTGGCGCGAATGGGACAGTATCAAAAGAAACGTGAAAAAAAAGAGAACTTGCAAGCAAAACGTAATCTGATAACAAAGTAGCCTCTTAAAAAGATTATTTGGAGTAACGTGCTCAGGACAGTGTAAATAAACTTTTAAAAGTGCCGGGACAGTTCAGAAGGCAAACTTGAATAAGTTCAGTATTTTTTATCATTGTTTGCTTAGTTTAGGCTATCTACTAGACCATAATATCTATAATAATTCAGGCTATCTATACCATAATAATAATTTAGGCTATCTACTAGACCATAATATCTTAAACATGAACAAATATAGTTAAACATGAACATATAAAAATGAACACGTATCAACCAAAAAGAGTTCTTTCAATAAAAAGTGAAATAATAATTGGATGGAAAACATATCCGTGTTGAAGAAATATAAAATCAGAGAAAAAACCAGAATACGTGCTAGTTTATTCTCTCGTTTTGAGTACAGTAAAAAATATTCCTTCTTGTTTTTTTTTTTGCTTGAGCCCGTGTTTATAAAAGACGGTGCTGAAAATGCACCGCACATTTTAGCAACCATGGAAGAACGCGGACATGTCCTGTTGGCGAACTAATCAGGGATAATCTATATTATGGAACACTTAGAAACGGCCCCTTTTGCCTCAGTTGGTAAAAAAACCAAATATGCAAGGGAAATTCACAAGTTCAATTCTTTCAGTTTGGGAAAGATGAAAGTCATTAACAATAGAGTGGCAAAGCTCAAGTAAACGTTAGGCAAAAATCTTTTCTGTGTTTCTTGGTATGGTTGCATGTACAATTTGCGCCTTTATTTTGTTCTTTATTACGCGACACTTGGAGTATAAATGAACTTTACACACCACCACACATTATCTGAGCTTATCTCAAATGTGCCAAATATCCTTCCGCATCTTTGCTTTCTTTCAATAAAATACAAAAATGTTTTGATTGCCAATCGTATACCCCAAGTATTGAACTGCTTATTAGGAGTCCGTATCAGCAAAAGTCATCAGCAATTGATACAAATTCTCTACAGAATGAACAAACTTTTTTGCTTTTACGCATGATGCGTTTTTCAGTGTACCTTGATTTCAACGACCAACTTCAAGCAGCTAGATATTTGCTTTCTCTACCTCATGACTGAACCTTTCGTCCTCAACAGTAGTGCAGTTTTGTGAGGATGTTACTTTATTGTCTATTGCTTGAGGACTGATAACGACGTCATAATACGTGGTGTGAAATATATGACTTCGCGCTCATTCCAAGGTACTCACCATTGACGGAGTCCCTCAGATACGATAGGTATGTGTTCGCTTGTGCTGATTTTTCACAGTCGCGCCCACAGCCGCAGAGCCCACCGTGGTAGAACTCCTCGGCCGTGCCGTCGGAGGCAAACTCGAGGTCAGCCTCGACAGCGTTCGCACCCCGCGCCACGAAGTTGTCTACATCTTCTAAGCTATTCGCCATGTTACCGAACACATAGAAGGGCCGGGGATCTATTGCCGTAGACGTCTGCAAGCCCCAGATCAGTGAAGTCTGTGAATTCGTTCAGTATTTGGCTTCGTTTAAAATAGCACTAGACAACCGCCATATGAACTACGAAATTGCAAGTAAATCCTTACGAATATCTAGAATATAAATCTTCTTAGGAGCCGAGAAATTGCTGTTGGTCCGGGGTTGAAAACCATGACCCAAGCCATTACGGCGTTGTCACTTAACCCACTGAGACAACCAATAAGTTTGCAATAGCATGGGTGACGGTAAATGAATGAAGAACTTTAATCGCATGGACACAGAATACCGCAAGTTCATTGACTGAAACCCTGCAAAGTGGCGGAAGGTGTAACAAAGCACACTGTACAACAATCGATATGCAGAATGAAGTTACAATGAAGTTCATATGTATTTCTGAATAAGAGAGCTTCTTAATTGTAGACAATGTAGCCCTGCGGCTACAAACCACCGCTGTAGTTGAATTGAGCTTCGAGATCTATGCAGGCCAACAAAGCTAGAGCTACCTCAACTGGTAGACTATCAGTCACATAATTTACTGCTTGCAGGCTCAGTATCGGCCAATGAGAATCAATACTCTTGTTCACTTTGCTTTCTTCGAATTTTTACTAAAACACTACAGTTGACGCCCTCTATATTTCCTTTGGTTTTATTGCTACTTTGATTATTGTGTCTGAAATTGAGCTCTAAAACCTCCCCTTTCATAATTTCATGGCAAGGATCTCAGTCTGGCAGACTTGAAGCCTTCGCGTAGTATACGAGAAATTATTGGCCAGCTGTGGTGTCGTGCAAAAATCAAGTGCCACGTTACGCCAGCCGGCGCAAAGAGTGTCACACTCACCACCATAGTTGGGACCCGTGCTAACACTCCCAAATTTATATGCATATATATACCCAACAAAGTCCGTCGGAATCAGCGCCGGTGTATCTTGTATCGCAATTGATGGAACATTGGACGAGTGATTTGGAAGTTTAAAATACGGTCCCTGCGGGCTGCGTATTATCAATCCACCACTTTTCTTTGTTCACGTTTGTACTGTCATCATTAAAAATAACGTTGCCTTTACTTTCCATGGCGTTATTGTGTGTCACCCTTCATTAATACAGTGTCTAACAAAAAAAAAAAACAAGGCTTTGATGTTCCCTTTTCTTCCTTTGTTGAAGTATTGTATCTGTTGAAAGCTTTCGATGTTTCTTTTTGTTTCTTCGCATGACCAAACACCTTTTAGTGCTCTGTTTTCTTATGGTTCTACTTTTTGTAGTCTCCAGTTCACCCCAGGTAAATAATGAAAGTACACTTGTAGCTTGCTGAATACTGCGTGATGTGCTAAAGCTTTCCTGTACAATCACCCCAGAAAAGACCAGCTCATCACTTATTAAACACAAAAAGGCATACACATCAGTAGTTATGAAATACACTAATTTTCCTTACAAAACGTTATCTTAGAAAACATGCTTTTATTTGAAGGTCTTTTCAGTGAAGACAGTTTTAAAGGGATATGCCTTTGTCTGCATCCTTGGTTCTGTTTCTACGCTCCTGTGTCGTATCGCCTTGTTTGTTCTGAATAAATATGATTAATACTTAATCCTTTTCAAAGAAGATCAAACCTAGGTTTTATTTTTTATTTGCTCGATCACGCGCTTCTATAACTTTACATCGAATGATTATGTTACTAACGATTCAGTGAGTTTCCTGTCAAATTAGCAGTCTGCGGAGTTTTCACGAGCCATAGTACATTTTTACACAAGGAATTTTATAGTCACCCAAATAGTCTATGAAATTTTAGTCGTACGCACTTGTAAAAGGAAAGATATATACGTGATGTTCAGCATGTGTATCCCATTAAGCCTTAACAAGCAATATGATGATACTTGCACCAAAGCTCAACAGCAAGAGGAGACATGCTTCTTGGAGGAACATCTTGTATATTGTTAATCCACAGTAGAGCTTGAAAGTTCTCTGTAAAGCAAAAAAAAGTATTGGACAACTGAATGTTTCTTACGTAATAAGTTATGTACTACTCATATGGCACTGACTTCTCTTTGCCATCGATGGGCATGCACAATTTTATCACAGCAAGCGACGCAATATTTTCGCTGGAGATGAATGAGAATATGCCGGAACACGGCTCATCACATGCCTCCAGACCAGCCGTGGCAGGAAATAACACTCTACTACGTGCAGGTTCTCTGGCAGGAGCCATCGAACATTTTTCATTTGGAAACAGCTGTATTTATTTGGTCAATGTTGCATTTATTTGGCTGTCAGGAGTCGGCTACATCGCTCGGTATGAATGATATCTGCAGGGCTGAAGAAAAACAAAAAGCTTATTGTGAAGCTTTATTTTTTACTGCATTAATTTGATTTTCAGCAAGCCGCCTCTCTTTGTCTTCAGAATAGCGATAAGCATGTACAGCTCAATAATTAAGAATGTCAGGGCAGGGAAGAGCGTAGTGGTGAGATAATAGCTTTTATATGTGAAGTACTTTTTGCGTACTGCAAGCAGTTTTGGCGTCTATCTATCTATCTATCTATCTATCTATCTATCTATCTATCTATCTATCTATCTATCTATCTATCTATCTATCTATCTATCCGCTTGCGTCCAGCGGGTCTCGTGATCACCTTCTTGACTTGGCGTGAACTAAAATCAGTATAGGAGGGCAGGATAGTCTCACGAAAAGAAGGCGCCAGTCAAGAGATGAATAATGTCACAATACCGTTGTGTACGTCATCAAACACTTCCCACCAGACAGTGACGAATACCCGCGGGCGGGTATGTGCCTCAGGTATGCAGGTATGTGCCTCAGGTGATTGACACTTAGTATCTACCAAGAAATAACGCGAACAGACATGGCTGAGTTTAACGCGTAAGTGCTTTGAAAAACCTGACATGGGTAGCGTTCACCCGACAAATTCCAAAAATAAATGTAAGGGTCCCAGTACGAATCCAACCCCAACATTCTGCGTGGCAACTAAGCATTCCAAGACTATACGACGCCAGCTTTCTGAACTACATTTCAAGTAGATCCTAATCTTTGTGAAACATTGATTGAGGTTGCAGTGCTGGCTATACAAATTTATATACATTATATACGTACTCCTACGATTCATGCGCTGAAGTTGACTTATGTAGCAGTGTTCAGGGCTACAATCCTCGCAAGCCCTAGCGCTTTATATCCTGCAGCTTATCGCTTCTCGTGTTGCTAGTACTCATGCTCCCATTGTGATCGTTGTGGAAGTGCAACGTCCTGAATATAAACATCTACATCTACCTGTGCGTGCAATATTTGTAAGTATAGACCTTTTCATTCAAGGCTCCCTGGGCGCTGTCTTAGTCCTCTCTGGGCTGTTGTTAGTGCAAGTGACCCACCAAAAAAATTTACTGCCCAGGCTGTGACGTCGACTTTTGTACTCTCGTGCAACAGCCGAGAAAGGAGGAAATTCTCTTATTCGCTTATCCGTAAAAAAGGTAGATACTTAGCGTCATTTCATAACGCATTGCTCCATAAAGAACTTGCAACACGGTCACCTTCCCTCACCCTGCCGCGGTGGTCTAGTGGCCAAGTTACTCGGCTGCTGACCCGCAAGTCGCGGGATCAAATCCCGGCTGCGGCGGCTGCATTTCCGATGGAGGCGGAAATGCTGTAGGCCCGTGTGCTCAGATTTTGGTTCACGTTAAAGAACCCCAGGTGGTCGAAATTTCCGGAGCCATCCACTACTGCGTCTGTCATAATCATAAGGTAGTTTTTGGGACGTTAAACCCCACATATCAATCAATCAGTCACCTTCCCTCCGCATGCTCTACATTACGGCGATTCTCAACGTACGTGAGATCTGCTGAGTTTTTACGGTTGCAATTGTGCAGGTAGCCGGCAAGTCACTTTGTTTGAAGATACACATGAAAACACATGTTATGGCCAAATAAGGATGTTTGCCACCTTGGGTTACAGCGCCTTGGGTGAGATTGCTTCTTTAAAAGTGATAGTGCACTGAAAGCAATCACTTGAAAAACGTAGAAATCATCTTGAACAATCCTTATATTTTATAGGCAGAGCCAAGCATAGCCACTGCGCTGAAGCCGGTGCATTCGGTAGACTCTACACTCGTTCAAAATTGAAAATTTTGATGAAGCACACCAAAAGAAAAAAACAGACTGACAATATACTCTACACTTGCTCTATATACAATATACAAATACAATTATATCCGCCGCAGCCGGGATTTGATCCCGCCGCAGCGGGATCAAATCCCGGCTGCGGCGGCTGCATTTCCGATGGAGGCGGAAATGCTGTAGGCCCGTGTGCTCAGATTTTGGTTCACGTTAAAGAACCCCAGGTGGTCGAAATTTCCGGAGCCATCCACTACTGCGTCTGTCATAATCATAAGGTAGTTTTTGGGACGTTAAACCCCACATATCAATCAATCAGTCACCTTCCCTCCGCATGCTCTACATTACGGCGATTCTCAACGTACGTGAGATCTGCTGAGTTTTTACGGTTGCAATTGTGCAGGTAGCCGGCAAGTCACTTTGTTTGAAGATACACATGAAAACACATGTTATGGCCAAATAAGGATGTTTGCCACCTTGGGTTACAGCGCCACCTTGCGTGCCGTAGAGTCTGACGTGTTCAAAAAGGTATATTACTACTTGGTCATGACGTCATCGATGGACAATCGCCATCGATGATGTCCAACTTCTCATAACGCAAGTGCGAGCACGGAGTGTGCCGAGTTTAAACTATGGGGCAGGAAGTATAATGTGTATACTTGCTATATAATTGTATTTGTATATTGTATATAGAGCAAGTGTAGAGTATATTGTCAGTCTGTTTTTTTCTTTTGGTGTGCTTCATCAAAATTTTCAATTTTGAACGAGTGTAGAGTCTACCGAATGCACCGGCTTCAGCGCAGTGGCTATGCTTGGCTCTGCCTATAAAATATAAGGATTGTTCAAGATGATTTCTACGTTTTTCAAGTGATTGCTTTCAGTGCACTATCACTTTTAAAGAAGCAATCTCACCCAAAGGGCATTTTTGTGGCTATAGAAAATATCCTACTCAAAGAGTTCAGCAATGGTGTTGCGCCGCAACATCGTATCAACATGTTGATACAGCACGCGGTACAACAAATAAGCAACGTTCACTTTGTAGTCATGTTCTAGCAACGAAAACAAAAATAAAAATGAATATAAGCAAGCGATTCCAGAACTTAGATCACTGAAAACATGAGTTAATGTTTTCTGAGTGCTGAAGCGTAAATAGAGCTGGGCAAACATAACCAAGAAGCAAACTAAAGGTGACACTTATGTTACTGAAATGCCACACTTCTACAACAACTGATCACGAAAAGTTGTGTTCGTCTATTCGAGACATGAAAAGACCACCCAAGGTAATCTTGGTGCGAAAAGAACGTTACCTAAAAATACAAACTGGTGCCATAAATTAGTCTGTTTCAATCAACAGACAATCAGCATGCCTCACAGCTGATAGCTTGGCGTTCACGTCAGAATATCTGCCCTTACGTTGCAGCGGCCGCAAATAGGCTCCGACAGGTGTCGTCTTCTTATGGTAAAAACCTGTCGTTATACTCAATATACTCTCGCGACTTCTTTGAAGCAAATGTCTGTGCTTTTTTTCTTATTCCTCGAGTTTAGTGTTTGCTGTATGGAGTTTATGGTCATCGAGGCCAATAATTTTCGACGTGTACGTGAATATATCATGCTGAAGACTTCGTGAATCTACTTAATTCTCCAAGTGGCGCTGTAGTTTGAATTGACAGTGCAATGGTTTTATTAGAAAAAAATTACGGCATTCCCATACGTATCTCATCGAATTTAGTCAGGCATCTATATTTAGAGTGCCAGGAGTCTACAATGAGAGTAAATGTCACACATGACGATGCTGATTACGTAAGAAGCGCTAAGACAGCCTCCTGTTTAAGAGACAACAATATTATTATATATTTGAGTTATTATTCGATCTGTCAAGCCTAGAAACCCACTAAATGAATGAAACGATCCACATCCACATTGCAGTTCTTTTGTGACTGTGCTGCCACATGTGGATGCCTAATTAGTTTTTTGATGCCATAATAACCTGATCACCGGCTTTATTACAAAATGACTCTAATATAAGAAGGTATTTCAGCTGTCATAAAACAGGTTGAGCAGTTTCCCATCAATTATCACGAAAATCATAAATATACAGAAAGTTCATTGACAATATGTGTCTTTGTTTGACAACTTTAGTTGTTTACAGGTACGGCTGCCGAGATGGTTCAGTGCTTGCCACGATTGCTTGCTCTTTCGCAGCACATGGGTTCGATACCCGCCACCATGGTTCAATTTCAATGTTTGGGGTCCGTGTACTTTATTTTGAGGCACGTTTATTATAAAACTCAGGTTGTTGATATTTCAGGAGTCCTGCGCTACGGCGTTCCCGATAATCATGTTGCTACGTACCAGTGACATCGAGGTGAAAAAAAACAAAAAAGACAGGCTTGCGCGAGCGAACCTGTATCGATGGCGCTGGTCACTTAACCAGCTGAACAGATATATCTGCGTCCACGCTTTCGAGTATCTCTTTCTCGTAGCATATTTGCTTGGGTGTGCGATCTTTGTTTTCGCCACGGAACTCTGAAGCGGACGCTCGCTAGTGGCCTCCAACACAACCGCTCAGGACTCGACCACATGCCCTCCGGTCATCACGCCTTTTGACGTGCCTGTCAACCCACCGGTGGCAACAACTTTCGTGACGCTCCCCGCCCTCAAAGAGCCTTGTGTGTTCTCGGGCACCGAGAGCTCCAACCTCGCTCAATTTCTACGCCACTACGACCTCGTCAGCGCTTCTTACAGGTGGGACCCCAGGCTCATGCTCACGAACATCAGCTTTTACCTCAACAGAACTCCTTGTGTCTGGTTCGACACCCACAAATGTAACGTTACAAGCTGGGCAAGC